CACAGATCAGTGCTCAAATATTGATTTGCTATTTACTTAGGAAAAGGGAAACACCAGCTGCAAGACAGAAAAAAGCTTTGACATCACTTCCATCCTTCCCTCTGCCTTTTCCCTGATTATCCAGGCAGTCCAGTCTCTCCCCAGCAAGGACAGCAGCTAAACCATCACACTGTATCCCCCCTGAAGGCTGGAAAGAGGGAGAAAGAGTCATCTCTATGTACATGCTAATTATATCACTGCATTGCACATTTATGCTCTTCTGATACTTGCACTATAGACTAGAATACAAAGTTTAGGAATTCCTGGGGGCTGCCTTGGGTGCATGGCACCCTTGGCTTATGTCTTTGGACAAATTAAACATTTCCTCTTCTATTTTGCTTATTTGTCAAAAGAAGATAATAATGTTTAGCCATCTTAACAGCAATGCTAACACTGCCAAAGAACTTTGTATAACCTTGATGGAAGCACCATAGAAATGTGCTGTTCAACCTCCCCACTTCCATTATACACGAAAATATCCCATTTTTTTCAGTTGAATCACAGAGAAAGTTGGTCTTAAACCTGAGGTGTTATCAGTGGTTTAATTTAGCAACTACTGTAGTTTAAATTAACCACAGCTCCACTTGAACTGCTCAAGCAGAGGTAAAAATGGAAAGATTAAAAATAAGAAAAGCCCAAAAATTACCAGCAAAGGCACAAGGCCAGATTGCTGAAGCTGGACCAGCAGGGACCAGCCCTCGCTCTCGGCTCTGTGCCTGCCTTTTAAATCCTTTTAAGGAGGGCTGGTGCTGGAGACAGAGCCAGCTTTTACAGTGGCAGCCCAGCTGGGGATCGACACTGTAAAAACAAGTACATAAAGCTCCAAATCAAATTGTGCTTGTAAGGAAAACATTTTGGGGATGAGCAGCCCCGGCAGAAAGCATCCCTGTGCTCGGAGCTGCTGCCTGGCTGATGCCAGCCCTCTCCCTGCTGTAGGAGCTAGGATGAAATTGGGATGAAATTCAGCCCCTGAGTCTCTCCAGATGAGCCCGCCTCACCGATAGCCAGCTCACAATTAAAGGGAAAAGGGAAAGGGCAGCAGGGAGCTCAGCCTAGCATGTTTGCTCCTATTTTCTTGCACTTTTTCTGGGATTGCAGCAGAGTTTGCTGCCAGGAGATGCCTTTTCCATCATCTCGAGCTACCTCCAGCATCCCTTTGAGCCTTTGGGGCTCTGTTTGTCTGGGGGTGATGTTGGCACACAGTCCCCACTGGAGCACAGAGCAGGTCTGGGGCTGATGCTCCTGCACCATAAACACCAGAATTAATATTCCTGGGGTCCACACAGGCACTGCCTTGGGGGAACCGGCTTCAATCCCAGATTTCTGAAGCACAACTCCCCTGGGCAAGGAGAAAGAGACTTTCCCCCTAAAAACCTCCGCAGCAAACTGGGCACTGGTGTCCTGCATGCAGGCCCAGATCCATGCTGATCCAGCTGCTGGAGGCATCAGTAATTTTTCCTCTGCAGTAATTACTCTGTAAGCCATGGAAAACCAGGGAAAACCCAACCTTTTCCTCTTAATGAGTGCCCCTGCCTGGCTTTCCATCAATACAACAAGAGGAGCTCTCTTTGTTCCATTTACCACCATTGATGTTCTGTTCCTTGTTGCATTCCCAGCAGATCTGAATAGAGATCTTTGCCCATTGTTTCCCCTACAGACTTCTGGACAGAGGGGAGTCATTAACAGAAAATCAAAAGCCATCCCGAGGCACAGGTGTGGTCTGGGGATAATTTTCTAGAGAAACTGGAGCTATAGGGGATGATGAGGATGGGGGATGCTGGGAGGGGCACTGTGCTGCATCTCCCCGGCAGAGTAAGTTTTATATGAGGAATAATCCAGCATCAACCCAGACACTAAGGAAGATCCATGTCTACAAACACCTATGTCTCTCCTTCTGGCTTGTTTGCAGTTTTAGCCAATTTACCCTGATGAAGAGGAGTGTTTTGGTACAAACAGTGGTGCTGACAAGCACATGGTGGCAGCAGCAAGTGCCAGCCAGTGAGGAAAAGCAACCCCAACAGCCTGATGGTGGAAAGCTGAGCAGCTCCAAAACCCAGCTGCAGCTTGTCCCCTCTGAGCCACAGCTCCCTTCATCTTCCCTGGTTTGTAGCGAGGAGAGAAGATTAACAAAACAAAACAAGTAAAAATTCCTTTTGCTTCCCACTGTTGGCTTCTAGACAGGCAGGGTTAGTGGAGCAGAGCAGAAGTGAGCTGCCTCTGCCCCATGGGGGTGGTTGCCATCCATGACATATTTTCTTGTGGTCTCAAAAGGAGAGAAAAGATGTTTTCCAAGCTACACAGCAGCAATATGTTGATCTTTCTTGAACATCTGGAACAGTTTTGAATGACTGCTTTAATTGAGCATAGCAGCAATTATAGAGTTATTTCATTTCAGAGGTTTTGAAAGGGTTTTTCTTTTTCCTTGATGACTTACAGGAGAAGACTAAACCCCATAAATTGTAGGGCTCTGTTGGGCTGCCATGCAGGAGGACCTGGTCACAGACCAGCCCCAGGCAGCTGGAACAGCTCAGCAGCCTAAATCTGGGTGCATCACTAATCCACCAGCCAGTTCCTGCTTTAAACTACAACCATTTAAAATATTTAAGGGCTTTTTTCATCATTTTAGCAGTTAATATTATTCCAGGACAAGACTTCCCTGTCTTCTCTTGGGGTTCTTTGTGATGTTGGTGAAAAAATAATTTCTATGCCATGATGTGGCTTGAGAGTGAACTGGGCTGTCCAAAGCAGTCATCTCTCTTCATTTGAGGAATTCACTAGTTTTCCAGTGTGGATGTGAATTCCTTCAGTAAAGGAGCACATGCCTCCCTTCCCAAAGCCTTCATCAGACACCCAGAGGCACGATGATGAAAAACTGGGGTCCCAATCCCCCTTAAAACACAAGACAGGTCTTCCCATGCCAGAGCATGATCTGGTGATGGCACCAAGGACCAGTCTGAAGCTTTGGTGCCTTCATCCTACACCATCCTACCTCTTCTGAAGGCCCAACTTCTTGATTAGTTTAAGCCAATTAAGTGCAAACCCTAGTATAGCAATCCAAGTCTTTCAAACTCAACTGAGAGAAGCCACAAAATTCAAGAAGAATAATTAAATAAAGGATGTGAAGTGGGAAGCTCTTTTCCAGCCCACACACCAGAGGTGCCATGCTTTGGATAAAAAGATTAATTTTGGGTGAGTTTTTTTAGAGTTGTTGTTTTTCACGCGGCTAAAACACATTCCTGGCAAAGCAGAGCCACTGTGGGGGTGCCAGGACAGGAGCACCTTGCCCTGAGGAGAAAAGGGGGCTCAGAGGGGACCTTATTGATCTCTACAACTGCAAGGATGTTGGAACCAAGGGGGACTCAGTCTCTTCTCCCAGGCAACAAGTGACAGGACAAGAGGAAATGATCTCAGGTTGTGCCAGGGGAGATTTAGATTGGATATTATGAAAAGTTTCTTCGTGAGAAGGGATGTCAAGCACTGGAACACACTGCCCAGGGAATTGGTGGAGTCACCACCCTTGGGGGGATTTAACAGATGCAGAGATTTGGCACTTGGGAACGTGGGTTAATGGTGGGACTTGATAATCCCAGAGACCATTTCAAAGCTAAATAATTCCATGTTTGTTCCATGGGGACAGGTCTATTTCATCCTGGCTGGGGCAGACCTGCTGAGCTCTGGCTCAGCTGCCTTCTTCCAAAACAAACCTTCATTTAAACCAGAAAAGAAAACCTCACCTGTGAGCCAGCCTATCCCACAACCAGCTGACTCCTTGAGCAACCCAAAAGCCAAACCCAGGTTTTATTCTCAACACAAAGATCCGCATTTGCTCAGGAGCAATAACAATTTCTCATTATTATTCCTAGCTAGAACGTGCAGCCTTTAAGCCTGTGGTTGCTCGAGGTAAAAAATCAGCACAATTTGAATAGTGATCAACCAAAACATAAAATGAATGCTGTGTTTCATTTAATAAACTTCAGCAACACAAGGCTGCCTTGTGGACACAATGTAATTAGTTTTGGATGTAAAGATGGGGGAAAAAAAGTGTTTTGTCTTCAAGGCAATTAAAATAAAAGAATATTTCTGTATTGACAGGAAAGAAGCTGCCAGGTAAAAATTCATATTTGATAAACTATTTTTCCTGTTCCCTTGTATTAGCTTGTGGGTTGTCAGTTCTTCTTGGTTTGCTCAAAGTCAGAAATCATCACATGTCACCTGGAAGTCACTGCTGCTGGTGCTATGAAAGATCACAGTTTGGATGAAAGTTTGGAGAAAAACAACAACTCTAAGAAAACTCACCCAAAATTCTTCACAGTTTGCTGAAGAACAGCAGAAAGGGAGGGAGGGAGGAAGGGAGGAATGGCAGTTGCTGAGTTGTTCTTGAAAATATGACTGGAGATGAAAAAAGCACAGAGAAAGAGAAAACCGAGATAAGACCATGATTTTTGAGACAATCCTAGAGCACATGTGTTCTGGCAAGATAATTTAGAAGCATTAAAAATGTCTGCAGCTGGCCATGCTGTCGGTCACTCACTCTCCAGTGGAGCCCACACTGCTCCTGCTCAGCTTCTCTCCCAGTCTGCCTCAACTACAGCCTTGGAGTCACACTTTGTCCCCACCAGGGCCCAGTGTGCCTCGGTGGCCACCAACACATCACAGTCACATGTAGCCATCATCACTTTTGGTAGCAATTAAACCACCTAATGAGAATTTGGAGGAAATCAGGTTCCTGCTGTTTGTAGTGCTGCAGTAATGATTGAGGCTAAACCCGTGTGAACACAAAGGAGGGCAGTGCATCGTACAAAACAACTGAGGGTGGAGAAAGGAGATTTCTCCACAGCAGCAGCAGCATCGGTCAAAGCAAAGCTCTGCCAGCACCGGAGCCCAGCAAAAACTTGAGGGACCCTTTTGGACTCTTCTTTCTTTGCTGTTTCAATCAAAACCTCTGTTCCCATCTCTTGCAGGGCCGCCAGCGCAGGATGGAGACGCGGCCACAGCCCTGAGCGGGTGCTGCTGACCCTGCCCGTGGCTCAGCTCTGCCCAGCCCAGCACCATGAGTGGTTTCCTGTCCCGGCTGGACCCACGGCGGGTGCCCTGGGGGGCCGCGGGCCATGCCCTGCGCGCCCGCGTCCTGCGCACCAAGCCCGTGGAGTCCATGCTGGAGGGCAGCGGGGCCGCGGCCGCCCAGGGCGCCCGGCTGGCCAAGGTCCTCACCACCCTTGACCTCATCTCCCTGGGCGTCGGGAGCTGCGTGGGCACCGGCATGTACGTGGTGTCCGGCCTGGTGGCCAAGGAGATGGCGGGGCCCGGGGTCATCGTGTCCTTCATCATCGCCGCCGTGGCATCCATCTTGTCAGGTGGGTTTGGTGCGGGATTTTGGGGAATGTGCCATATCCTGCATCCTCTCCGTTCACGGGTGGGCACCTACTCAGCACCATAAGCTACAAGGAGGTAGCACCATCCCCACCAACTACAAAACATTTCCCTCAGATCTCACACAGCTCATCGGGTGTCCTGTCCCTCGTTGCCCAAATCTCAGACCAAATCTTGTACTGGAAGCCAGCAGCCAAGCCTGATTATCCTCATGAGCTGCCAATTGCTTCTATAAGGATGGAGCCTGTGGGCAATATTTATGAGATTGAGAGTTTTGCAGAGCGTGTCCTAAGTTGAGAGCGTGGCCAAGCCACAGGGCTGGAGCGAGTGCTTGTGGGAAACTCAGGTCCAACAGGAAGGATGTCAGTGGCTTGAGCAGTACCAGGGCCAGCTTCTTTTGTTGACATGGCCAAAAGTTAAAAAAAAAAATCCTCAATTAGTTCTGGAGTTGATTTCATTGGCTCCCATTCATGCAGGGTCAGTCTTGGAATTAAAAAAAAAAAACAAAACAAAAAACAAACCAACAAACAAATGGGCAGGGAGAGAGAAATTACCTATTTTAGTGAAAACACAGTGACTTCTATCTCCTCTCTAGGAACCCAGCTGAGCATATGGCTCAAGCTGCAGTTTCTCCATGAAGCCAGTACTGCTGGCATTTGTCCTTTCCAGATCAGTGCTAACACGATGATGTGATGTTCCTGCTCTCTCTGCTCAGAGGACTTTTCATGCTGTGTCAGTCTGGTATCCAGCTTTTGTCTGTGGGTTGGATAAGAAAAACTGAGCAAATGGCAAAGGGCTTTGAATAGAAGACAGGAGAGCCGACACAGCAATGTGACCCAGATCAGCTTTTCAAAACTCTGGGTTTTTGTCCTGAGAGGTGGAAGCACATCATGGTTTTTTCCTAGAGTTTGCAGTGTTGTTCCATAGAGATCCCACCAAAGTGAGTAGGAGGTTGAACCCCTCTGCAGCCCAGAGACACAACCCTGGCACAGCCCAGGGATGATCCTCAGGCTCTCTCCAAAGCCCACAAAAAGAGACAAGAGCTTGCAATGGGATTCAATGCTTATTTGGGTGCCCAACACAACAAATGAACCAAAATGCTTGTTTCTTATCCAAGGCAGCAGATAGCATCAGTGTCTCTCCTTTCCCACTGCCTGCTTTCCCTCCTCTGCAAAGGTTTCGTTGGCCGTGATGCAAACCAAGAGCAAACGGAGCTTGGGTGGGTCTCTGCTAACAAAAACACACTGTCCTCCAAAAGGGGTTTTTTCACCCCAGACTTGAGCCTTGGCCCACAGCGGGAGCTCCTCCCGCCTTTGCCCACGGGAGCCTGCACTGCTTCCCACTCTGCTTTCATCTCCCCTTGCTTTTGTAGCCCTGGGAAAGTGTTTTGTGAGGGATTCAGTGTTTTGATAGTCTCCTTGGCTGCTTCCTCACTTCATCGTTAACGCTGCTGTTGTTTGTAACAGCAACACTTTTTTGGCAAGTAAAACCAAGTAAGAATTCAGGAGCTGGATGGGCTGTTAGACTCCTTGGGGATGTGATTTCAGCTCTCCCATTGTGGTCACGCCTAGTGTGCCAGGCACTGAGTTTGGGCAAGAGCACAAACAGATTTTAAGGAACTTTTACTTTGTCCATCACAGATCACCAAGTCAAACCCCACTGCTTGCAAAAGTGATCCCAGAAGGGTTTGGGATTTAAAAAAAAACTAAAAACCAGACAAACCAAAATCATCCAGGAGGTTATCTGGCTCCCCAGGGAGACAGCCATAGGGAAGCCCTGCCATAGGGAAGCCTCTTTGCACAATTAAGCCTGGTTTCAGAAAGGGACTTTTCCAATTTCTTCTACCCAACAAACTCGACTTACTATGTGTTGCCTTCCACAGTTTTAAGCAACACATCAGGGCACTTACAAACACACTATAATTGATTAAACAGATACATTAAATCAATCTCTTTCATTCTCTCACTAGAAGGCCTTTCATTCATCTCTCAAGTAGGAATGCATGCCCAACTTCCCTCCATCATCATCCCAAGCATCAGTGGCAGGGTCAGCACCCACATCACAGCCACCACCATGCCTGCACACCAAAAGCACCGGTTCTCATGCCACCAGTTGTCCTGCCCAGTGGCTGTTCTGTGGATGGGATCTTGGAAGGACCAAGACCACTCAGCTGTGTTTATGTCCTGCTGAACAATGTCAGTAACTGTATAATTACACAAGAGTAATGACTGTCACACCAATTGCACAAGTGGAGCAGATATTCAAGGAAAAGAAACAATCCTCTGTAGAATGCTTGCTCTTTCAAAAAACCACTGTGTTGTCTTGTTTTCTTTAGAAATTGCAAACACTCTTGATTGGGGGAAGAAGATAAATCTATATCCAAATCAAACAGTTGTGACAGGGAGGAGGTACACAATCTCTCCCTGCTGTCCCAGGGCTGGGCTGGCTGTGCAGGAGCACTGGGAGAGCTGCAATCTTCTGGATACAGAAGACAAGGTGTTGAATAGCTTGAACTGTCAAGGAGTTACTGAGTAACAGTGTTTTACTGTGCAGTTAGATTGTAAAAATAATAACAACAACAACAACAGTAATAATACAGTGCAAATGCAGCAGATATTAGTACATATTGTATATATGTACTTTGTGTGTAATTCATGCTGACACCTAATGCTGATATTCTCAGCCTATTGCTGTACTCAACCCCTAGTGAAAAACAGCTCTTCTCATTTGGGATCCCAGTAGAATAACCAAAACCTCCAACATTTTATACATATTCATTTCTTTGCTTTAGCATTATCATTGTGTATCGATAACCATCCTCTTCAATCATTATCTTGTCATTGGCTAAAATAAGAGCTGCCTACAAGAGCATATATATATATATATATATATATATATATATATATATGTATGTATGTATGTATTTTTAAGGCCATCAAAGAGAGAAACTAGATACTTGTCTCTGTCAGAGCACCAGTTTCATAAATCATTCAGGCCTGTAGTTATCTGTGAACACCGTACCTTTGCCGAGTGCATGCATTTTTCAGCAGCTTTGAATAATGACTGTCGGTAGCGCTGGATGGATGATGGAAACCTCTTGTGGCTCCTGTTGGGCTGCTTTACAGAAATCAAGTTTTGAAGAGTCCCATTGCTAAACAACTCACATTCAAGTTAAGCAGTGAATGGAATATAAAAATCCTCCAAAAGCAAGAAAACAAGCACCACCAAATTCAGCTTAAGAGATTCAATAACTCTGTGTTTGTACAGAGTAAAAACAGCACTTAAGGAAGAGCAGCCACCTCATAGCAGTTTTATAAATTATTCATTCCCCTCTCTATACTGAACTGATTGCAAATTTGAAGCAATTATTATCTCCTAAATGGAGAATATTGGTTGATAGAGAGCTGAATAATTACTACATGTTTACTCAATGGTAGTAACAACCTTAACCAATTCACCCATATAAACTTTACTGAGGTCTTTGGGGCAGGGGCTTAATCAGTGTTAAACATGCAGGACCCTTCCAGCACTTGTCCTGAATAATATTTGGGGAATTTGAGACTAAGTACATCCATTCATTTAAAAAAAAAAAGCTCATGGTTTTTTTAATACATCAATGTGTCAGGGTCAGGTTTTTATTAAAAATTATCCTGACATAGTAAGCGCACAAGGAGTTCAAAGAGTATTGAAGTCTGATGAATCCTCCTCCCAAACGTTACAGTTAAATATTTCTTTTTGCTTTTCTTTTCTTCTTCTGCACAGTTAGTTTTGCAAATATTCTTTAGAAGACTTAAATATAATATTTTTTAAGTGTTAAAATAAGTTATGTTCTCTATGTAAGGCGTCTTCAAACTCCTCTTGCCTGGGTATGAACAAAAGCAGGGATGATCAGGACAGTGCTCATGCCTGGATCTGCAGAACAATAATGCAGGATGAATGTTTGAAGATTGGAAGTTTGGGGCAGAGAGAGGTGTAGCCTTCTGTGAGCCCTCCTGTGGCATCTTCCTCTGGGATGAGACTGTGCAGCACTGGTCCAGGATCCCATGTAGACATCTGGCTGGTTTGAACTGTGTCTTCTCAAAAAGAAAAACCTGTCACAACTTGATTGTAGTGGAAATATTTCTGGTTTTTAAACCAAGAAACAGGGGAAGGAGGATCACCCTGCAATGTCTCTGTGTTCCTGATGTTGACTGCAGTGCTGGCACCTCCTAGCACCTCTGGGAAGGTAGCACCAAGGCAGTTTTACTTTTCCCATTTCCCAACCTCTTTTTCCTTACACCTCTTCCACTTTTTCCTAACAGGTGTTTGCTACGCTGAGTTCGGCGTGCGGGTCCCCAAGACCACGGGCTCTGCCTACACCTACAGCTACGTGACCGTGGGGGAGTTCGTGGCGTTCTTCATCGGCTGGAACCTCATCCTGGAGTACCTGATCGGGACGGCCGCGGGCGCCAGCGCCCTCAGCAGCATGTTTGACTCGCTGGCCAACCACACCATCAGCCGCTGGATGATCAACAGCGTCGGCACGCTCAACGGCCTGGGTGCGTCCTGCTGTGCAGAGATACCTCCATTAATTTGGGCCTGAAACAGTAATTGGAAGCTTGTCGGGAGTCAGACATGGATATTAGGCTTCATTCATTATTTACTGTCTGTCTGGCTCTGGTATTTTGCCTCAGCAGCCTGGCACACAGGCAGGATTGGAGGGGATGGGATACGGGATACTTTGAGCCCCTTTGGGATGAGCTGGCATTTAGAATACATGCACAGAAATAGTCACATGTCAAAGGGTAGGGGCAGCACAGAAACATTTCACCCAGTGCAAACATCCACTTGGTTCTCTTGAGGCACACACAGATTTTTGTTAGAGAGCACAAGCTGGAGTCTGCTCTACTGCCAGGGACTGGGGGCTGTGACGGTCCAGTATGACCAGCAGTTCTAACAACAGTCTATGAATTCTACCAGAAAGCAAACCAGCCAGCTGTCCTGTACCTATGTCATGAAAACTTCATGGCTGATTGATTTTTAATGAGTACTTGGCAGATACACGTTATGCAAATTGGGATGTAGTCATTGGTTTGCTGCTCTCCCAAAAGTCCGAACAGTGTCTTGAGACATCAAGATTTATGACCTTAATTAAACAGCTTTAGCTAGTGGAGACACAGGCTTCTGGAGACCACTTTTGCAATGAGACCAAAGAGTTCTGCAAAATGTCAAGGTCTGAAAAGTGTTTAAAACTCCCCCACAGAGTTCCCGGATATTCTGTGGATGGAGAGTAGCACATCTCTTTTATCTCACCTAGGGAAAGGAGAGGAGTCGTACCCTGACCTTCTTGCTCTGGTCATCGCTGTCATTGTGACCATCATTGTGGCCATGGGGGTGAAGAACTCGGTGGGACTCAACAACGTGCTCAATGTCATCAACTTGGCAGTTTGGGTCTTCATCATGATTGCTGGTCTGTTCTACATCAAAAGTGACAACTGGGCTGAAGGGCAATTCCTGCCGTTCGGATGGCCAGGGGTAAGTCCTGGGGGCACAGAGGGACACACAGCGCCTAAGTGCTGCCACACACTCAGCCCTGCTCATGGCTTACACACCCCAATTCTGCTGCACCCTCCAGATTCCAGCCCTGCTGAATTCACCTGTGCTTTGGCCAGGGACCTCCAAACTCCAGGAGTGCAGGCTTGTATCCAGACCTGCTCTTTCCCCCAAACCCAAAGACTACGGCAATGATTTATCTCCTAACTCCTCTTAGCATAAACCCAGAACTTTTCCAAAAGTCCTTCTGCAGAGCCAAACTCCACATGAAGGTATCCCCAAGGAAATGCCACTAATTGCCAGGCAATGAAGCAAAATGCTGTGGCTATCTGAGGCAGGGTGCTCCAGAGAGCTGGATCTGCCTCTGCGGAGTGGGGAGATACTTTTTTTGGCTGGTTTTCAACAACAATGTTCTCAAGCATTTGTTTTGAGCACTTCATAATGCCACCTGCCAGTACTTATTTTATGGATGTTCCCTCAAAGTTTACTGAGAATTTGAACATACTTGGCTTTTTTAGCTTGCTTGCACTGGTTTTTATCCAAGGATGAACAGAGACTGAAAATATCTCAGCTGGCCTAAAACCAAGATAATTTCTCAGATTTACACTGTTCAACTCCATTGGGGTTTTGTGAAGAAAAATAAGCAAGGAAGTAAAGTAAACCATGAATCTTGGTTATTGAAAGGGTCCCAAACTGCCATACACTCCCTGCACCTTCCTCCAGTAAATCAGTGCCTGTTTGCCAGAGAACAACAGTGAGGAGAAGAGCTCTGAGGCTCACTTGAGAACAGAGGCCATATTTACCTCTGGCTTGTGCTTGGATTGTTATACCATACAATAGGAGTGAAAAAGAGAAAATAGAAGATATCTATTTTGCTCTGATTCAATGCATCAAATATCTCTTGCCAAAAAAAAAAAAAAAGTAGTTTTCAAAGATAGATGCATACCCAAAACACAAAAAACTCAATAGGGTGGTCTCATCCTTTTCAGCTGGTTGATTGTCTCACAAGTTGTTTGTAAAAGTAAATTCACCACCAAGCACAAGTGTGAGATCCCCAACAGCGTAGGGCATATTTTAAAAGGATAATTACAGACAGTCCCTGAAAAAGGTGAGTTTTACTGTGTGCAGTACCACTAGACAGCTGAGATGACAGAGGTGATGGACAGGTGGTACCCAGCAAGCTGCAAGGCTTTCACAGCTCCAGATCAGCTAGGCAGCCTTCACCCTGCTCCAGTGATCCTTTCCTATAAATGTCCTCACTAATATTGTATATTTTTTTAAATCACATTAAAAAAAAAATAACCAAACAGTACAAATAATTCCTCATCCAAGTGCTCCAATGTGTGCTCCTAACCTGTCTGCAGCTTCCAAGGAAAACAGAGCTTGTTTGGGAAGCGGCTCACATCTGACGGCTGCTGCTCTCTCCTGCTTCCTCTGCGAGCGGATCTTGCTGCCACATGAGACATCTTGCTAAGGCAGAACATGCAAACATGTTCCAGATCCCTACTCATAAAAATGGATTTGGGGTGGAGGATTGTTAAAGCAAACCTGAAATTGGTTGATTGTCTCCTCTGACATTGGCAGGGTCTCCCAGTGTATTCAGGCACTGAAGGTTTGTGGGGTGAGCTGCAGATGCCTCCACGGCTCAGGGCAAAGGTTGAAATCTTTTCCTCAGATCAGATTGGTGGGTTAGGGGTGTCCCAGGGTCAGTCTCCAGAGCTACATGTACACCCCCTGACCTATGGCCACTCATCTTTTAGCTCAGACAATGCACAACAGTGCTGCTCCATTTTTGCTCAGCTCCCTCTCCCTGGCTGGGTGCCAGCCTTCCTCCTGGCACCCAGATGTGTGATCCTCCCCACAGGTGCTCAAGGGGGCTGCAACATGTTTCTATGCCTTCATTGGCTTCGACATCATTGCTACCACGGGAGAAGAGGCGAAGAACCCAAACACCTCCATCCCCTACGCCATCACAGCCTCGCTTGTCACGTGCCTGACAGCTTATGTGTCTGTAAGTAGTCCCTACACAGGTGTGAATGTACATAAATATGTATGTATGGATATAAATATATATGTGAGTCCTCCTGGGCACCTGCACAGTGCTGCCAAGGCTCCTCTCCATTTGTCCTCAGGCTCCTGTCACCTGACAAGACCCCTCTGCCAGCTGCAGGGATGTAGTGGCAGGCAGGTTTTTTTTTTCTCATCCCCATCCACAGTTATTTTTGCACCCAGGAGAGAAGCAAAGAAGAAGGAGCAGCAGCATTGCAGCATCCTTTCTCTGTGTTTCTGGGAAAAGCAGCACTGCCTCTGCTGGAGATATGGGAAAGGATCCAAATGAGGGGAAGGATAGGCAGGGATGACTGTGTGAGATTGCACTGCTCTGCACCCCAATAAAAGCATGCCTCTGCTCAGAAATTTTCCTTGCAAAAGAGCAAAAGTTAGTTATGAAGGAGAAAAAATGCTGTTATGATCATTTCAAAGAAACTCCCCTCTCCTGCATGGGAGTGGGCTTCTCATGAAAACAAATTCTTTGACTCAAATAGGGCAAGAGTGTTGCTTCAAGCAATGCAATCTGGATTTGGGGTCTGCCCCAGCATTATTTCTCACACAGGAATGCAGCCAAAGTGAGTGTTAATAATCCTGCCAGTCCCACCAGCCTCACCAGTCCCACTTGACTCCAACATTACCCCTGAAGCAAGGTTCAAGCATCCCCTTCTTTCCTTTGGGTAGCAGAGACTAAGACCCCACAGTTTTCTGGATCAGCCACCCTACAGCAAAGTGCAAACAGACCAAGCTCCAGCATTTTACATCCCCTCCACCCTGAGAATCCACAGCAGCCTCCAGTGCTGATGCTGACACCCTTGTCCTGCTCCTCTCGCCTTGCCCAGGTGAGCATGATCCTCACACTGATGGTGCCCTACGATGCCATCGACACCGAGTCCCCACTGATGGAAATGTTTGTGGTCCACGGCTTCTACGCAGCCAAATTCATCGTTGCCATCGGGTCCGTGGCCGGCCTCACTGTCAGCTTGCTGGGCTCCCTCTTCCCAATGCCCAGAGTCATTTACGCCATGGCTGGTGATGGGCTGCTCTTCAGGTCAGTCACACCCGTGCTGGCATTTATTTTTGGCCTCCTGGGATCTGAGGGGGAATTGTGCTGGGGGCCTTGGGGGTCCCAACACCCCAACAATATTGTCACTGCAGGGAGCAAGGGACATGCACAGACACGGTGGGTGCAGAATGGGGCACAAGGCAAAGCGATATCCTGGGGGGAAAATATCAGGAGCAGCCTACCCTACAGTTTCTCATTTAGTGCTGTTACCTAGAGATTCTGATTATGTGGGGATGAGTGTTTAATTCAAGAGCTATTTACAAAGGAGAGCAGTTAATATGGATAAAATCTGGGAAGTGTCCGAGTTCATTGCAGAGCTGGTCAGACCCAGATCTAACTCCAAATTCAACTTCAGCAGTGTTGCCAGTCCCCGCGTGGAATCAAAGTTCCAAAAAGCAACAAGACCTGAAGGGATCCCCGAGGCTGTCTTCTACAAACAGGGAAGGGTTATTGCAACAGGGTTGCAATGGTTATTTAACTTTCTGTGATTGTTCTGCGCTCCAGGTTTTTGTCCCACGTCAGTTCTTACACAGAAACTCCTGTTGTGGCTTGCATCGTGTCCGGGTTCCTGGCAGCTCTGCTCTCCTTGCTGGTCAGCCTGAGGGACCTGATTGAGATGATGTCCATTGGCACCCTGCTCGCCTACACGCTGGTGTCTGTCTGCGTCCTGCTCCTCCGGTACCAGCCCGAGAGCGACATCGACGGCTTCGTCAAATTCCTCTCCGAGGAGCACACCAAGAAGAAGGAGGGCATCCTGGCTGACTGTGAGAAGGAAGCTTGCTCTCCTGGGAGCGAAGGAGAGGAGTTCTCTGGCCCACCGACCAACACGTGCGGGGCAAAAAATCTGCCATCGCTAGGAGATAACGAGATGCTAATTGGGAAATCTGATAAATCTGCCTACAATGTGAATCACCCCAATTACGGCACCGTTGACATGACCTCGGGGATAGAGGCAGATGAGTCTGAGAACATCTATCTCATTAAGCTGAAGAAGCTGATTGGCCCTCGGTACTACACGATGCGGATCCACCTCGGGCTGCCGGGTAAAATGGATCGCCCGACGGCGGCCACCGGCCACACGGTCACCACCTGTGTGCTCCTGCTCTTTGTCCTGATGTTCATCTTCTGCTCCTTCATCATTTTTGGGTCAGACTACATCTCTGAGCAGAGCTGGTGGGCCGTCCTCCTGGTCGTGCTGATGATCCTGCTCATCGCTGTGCTGGTGTTTGTGATCTTACAGCAGCCAGAAAACCCCAAGAAGCTGCCCTACATGGCCCCCTGTCTGCCCTTTGTCCCTGCCTTCGCCATGCTGGTGAATATCTATCTCATGCTGAAGCTCTCCACAGTCACATGGATCCGATTTGCCGTCTGGTGTTTTGTGGGTGAGTCCCAGTTTCATTTATTTTTATTCACTAACGCTCTTTTGGAAGCTTGTTGATAATAAAAACTTCCCTAATTAGAGTGCTTAGGCTAACGCCTGGGAAATACCCAGTCCTTCTCATCTGCCCCTTGGCATCCTGAAGTTTTTAGAAATCTCATTTTATCCAGCCCCTGAACCACAGCTAAGTGGAAAATTACACCTCCAGAAAACATCAGTTTCATGGAGGAGAATGACTTCATGAAGAGGTGACTATTTTGACAGCTTTTTTGATGCAAAGTAAGCGGGATCTGCAAATTGCCTCACAGGCAGGTTTTGTACAGAAATCAGTCTGATTTCTTGCTCTGTCACCCACTTGAGCTTTTCAGCAGCCCACACCAGTATTTCAGCACTGCTTTTCCAAAGTCCAGAGCTGCCCAATTCTAGAAGCCCTGGGAAAGTCAGATCTGTAGACTGTATCTCCTTTTAGCTCAAGTTCTTAGCTTCTGGGTAGGGCCATCTTAGGACTCATAGACTCTGTTGTGGATCCTTTTTTCCCAAATTTAGTATTTCTGACACATAACCAGGAGTCCAGCATACCCATAGTTCTTTGCAACCCTTTTAGTCCACAAACCCAAGAGAAAAAAGCAGATCTCATAGCTCCTCCAAGCTGAGCCATTGGGCAGGAGCTGCCATCTGCATTTTTGGGCTGGAGAAGATACACTCGGTGCTTTTTTGGCCCTTGAAGTCGATATTTGAAGCTGCAAACCCAGAGAAAGCCCTTCTACCTGGAAGAAAAGATGACTCCAAAGCGTCTACTTAATCTGCTGTGATTAAGCACTTTCCTCTGTGGGTGCAAATACCTCTTGAGTTGCCAGCAATGACAACGAGTCAATTAAACCACTGCATTAGGTGTGATGAGCTCCACCAGCCCATCCATGGCTGTTGGGGATGGGACATCCCATTGGTTTTTCTGGCAGAGATATGTGTTCCTGATTTAATCTCACATCAGTCCCCCATGGTTAATCCGTGGCATGTGGAGTTTGGATTTCTCTGTACAGATGTCTGGGGTAGGTTAGTATCATGATCCACCAAAAATCATATCTCTGGATATATTTGCTGCCAGTGAAAGCATTTGTCCAAGGTGAAAATCAGGTAGGGCTGAAAGGTGAAATCAGGTGGGGCTAGTGGGGCTAGTAAGTAGCTGGGGTCCAACCCTCTCCCTTTTGCCCATCCCAGGTCTGCTCATCTACTTTGGCTATGGGATGTGGAACAGCACGCTGGAGATCAGTGCCCGGGAGGAGGCCCTGCACCAGAGCACCTACCAACGCTACGACGTGGACGTCGACCCCTTCTCTGTGGATGACGGCTTCTCCTTCGCCCCCGAGGGTGAGAGCTACCCGGGCTGGGGTCCTTCTGAGGACAAGGGCTTCTCGTACCAGCAAATGGCAGGCACCAAGGAAAGCCATCGGACAAGTAGCAGGTCGAAAAGCAAAGGCCGGCACAAACCGCCATCGGATGCTCTGATCGCCAACGACGAGCTGGACTACTCGCCCGAGTAGCGGGACAGGCAGTGGGGCGCCGCGCCGCCCAGGTGATGAGGAAGGCTCCCCCATCCTGCCCCATCCTCCCCGGGTCCTCCACCACCACCCTGCTCACCTCCAGTACTCGGGACACGCTCTGCGATTACCGTTGACCCCGGACCAAAACCACACGTGGCCCGTCCCAGCTCCAGCAGTCGGGTCTCACTCTGGTGAATGCTGGCTGACCCCCCAGCACTGGCTGATCTCCCAGCAGCAGCTGCACCAGTGCAGGCAGCGGAGTGGGAGATGTGCCAAACCAGGAGGGTGTTGAGAGGTGGAAGGAGCCACATGAGGGGACATCAAATTGTCCCTGGGGAATGTCCACCTGATGGCTGCAGCGGTGGGATGCCACTCTAAAATTTTCAGCACTTTCTTGGCATGTGTGTTTTTTCCCTTTGAATCACCCAGAAATAATAGCTGAGCCAGAGGCACAGAGAGGTGGGTAGGTACAAAATGGAGATGGACTTCCTTGGGAGTAGCTCAGAGATGCATAGTTGGTTCCATCACACAGTGTTTCCATGGCCTGTTCTGGTGCACTGCACAGAGCAATGCTTCCTCCATGTCCACCCCCACACCCCAAACCCCAGTATTGTTATTCAAAATTAGCCCATGTCTCAGTCAAATCTTTAAGTCCCAGCGCAGCCCAACACCCCAAATCTGTGGCTGGGAGCCTGATCCCATTCCTGGTCACAGTGAGGGCTGTGACTCACTCTTGGCTCAACCCTTTTTGTACAAATGGTCAACGAGGACCACACATTCCTCTGAGCATCACCAGTCTGAGGTTGGGCACTGCTTCCACCACTTTGTGTCTTTTACAAAAATGACTGTGCTGTCATTCCCTCCCCGTGCTGGGCACCTTCCAGTGCTCACTCTGCCCTCAGTGCTCCAGACACCCATCCGTGCCCCCACAAAATAGCAGCATCCGTGGGTCAGCCACATCTTGGCGGGGCTGGGCCATGGGTAGCAAGCAGAGAGGACTTGGCAACTGAAATCTGACTCCCTACTGCACCTTGTACAATATTCTTTGGTTTTGACCTCGCTTTGGTGGGTGCTGTATGAAAAACACTGAAATGCTGCTCATTCCGTAAGTGTCCGTATTTCAGTCTGAAACCAAACAGAGCTGGTGGCTCGTGGGGCAGAGGTGGTCAGCAGGTGGATGTTAAACCCCCTGAACATGGCCATGGCCCCCAGAAGTGCCATCAGACTCCCTGCTGCCAGTGTCCCCACAGAATCATCAGTTAACAGTGATGGGGTTTGGTCAGTGATTATCAGCAGGTCCAGTTGCGGAGCCCATCATGCTTCATGTAAAACACCGTGGTGGAGGAACATTTTTTGAATAAACAGCAACCAAAACCCTTCAGACAGCAACTCCCATCCTCCCTGCAGCTGTCAAAGGCTGCAGATGGATCCATCCCAGGGGCTTCAGTGCAGCCCAGACCAACCCCAAGTACCACGGGCTGCTGCTGGCTTCCCAGGGGACAATTTAACATCAACAGGGCCAGGATGTCCAGTATGGAAATATCCTCATGGATATTGAGAATCATTAATGCTTTGGTACACTGGATGAGGCTCAGGCTCCCAAAACACCTGCCTGGCACCCTCCAAAGGCAAGTAGGTGCAAAGGGTGCCTGGACCTGTGCCTATCCCCATCACTCCTGGGATGCAAGGGCTTGATGGAGACACTCTGCCTGGGGCTGTAAAAGTATCCCTCCAGCTCCTGTCCCAGACAGTGTGGCAAACTACAGTAATTTTCCCAGTGGAGAAGAGCATCCAGTTCTGCAGATTTTTACCTGGAGTGCTCTGGGCAAGCCAAGGGAAGTTTGGCCTCTGCAGCAGCTTCAGGGTGGGAGTGAAGATTTGGCTAAAGGACCTGTAAGCTTTGCTCTGGCATTGACTCCTGCTGCCCACCCCTACCACATTTCCACAAGGAGAAATCCTTAGTGTGTCCCACTGAAAAGCTGTTGCAATGTGCACCGCTCACGGGCCAGCTCAGGAAACCTCTCTGGCAGCACTGAGCTCCTCTTGCGATGGTCACTGCCCACCCACGCTTGTCTGCTCTCGTCCTTGATGCCTTAGAAGTACCCAGGAGGGGATGGCACCTCACAGGTCTGGCTGTGTGTTTTCAGGGAGAAAGATTGATGCTACTTTCCTACCAGCTCTTGTACTATACCATATCCAAGGTAGTTGTTTTCGTCCTGCTTCCACACGGTATTTGGGCATCTGCTGACCCACAAACCCATGCCCAAGCACCCTGTTGAGTCAAAGCCTGTTCTTCTTGCAGCCTTAATCTCTTGCTACAGAGCAGTTACCAGTACCAGTGTCTGTCGTCACGTCCGCTCTAGTCACGCTGTATTATTTGACAAGGGCTTGACCCCTTGCTCTTTGGTGTCTGTAGGAACTTCTCCATTGGATCTGAGCAGCCTTTTGGCTGCCCCCATTCCCAGTCACCCATCCTCCTTCCCCTTCCTGGGGAAGTGCTGGGGCAAGCTGGCTGTACCCCGTCCTGGGACCTCCAGGGAGCAGCATTTGTGCCGTGGCATTGTCAGATGTGCATGGATTACTGCCAGCCCTCGCCGTGCTGTGGGTGGGAGCTGTACCACATCCCACCCAACAGAGGTGTTTAAGGAGAAGGTGACCGAGCCACAGGTCTTGGGGGTTTGCCAGTGGCCAAGGGCTGGTTTACAGGATCCCTGCTCCCTGTTCTGGGTGGCAGCTCCTGGGAGATGTGCAGGTTCAGCCTCTGGAAACTCACATGCTGTCTCTTGTAGCAGCATTGGGCTCTTCAGTGGGCACGAGCAAAGGCCGAGAAGGCAAAATGTCCAGGTGTGCCCATCACCTCTGGGCACTGCTGGCCAGGGGCTGGGAAGAGGTACAAGTGCTTGTTTGGCTGTAACCCAACCTCCAGCCTTTCCCCTGGGTGCCCTGAGGGAGGTTCTCACATCCCTGGGCCATCAGGAGGACATGGCAGAGCGGGACCATCCTTCTCCCACCTCTGGTGAGAGGCACGAAGCCTCCATGCCTGCCTGCTCTCCACGGGGCACATGCCCTGAGGGGCCAAATGCATGGTACAGATGGAGCATAAATACCTCAAACCTTCCAGGCTGAATCTGTAAGATCTCAGCCCCTCCACAAATTCACTCCACATGGTCACAGCCCCTTGGTCTGACACCCAGCACCCCAGCATCCTCCCCATGGCAGCGAAATCACAGCCCAGCAACATGGGATGTTGTAAATCCAGCTTGTAAATGACCTTCACTTCGTTTTGTTCAGTCTTTCTGATGTATATCTTGCTTTTTTTTTTCTTTTTTTTTTTCTTTTTTTTGCAGGTGGTACTTTCTGGTGTAATAATTCTCTGCAGTTCTGATATGAAGTTGGTGTATTTGTTAAAAGCAGTTTGTTCTATCCATTTTTTTTTTTTGTGGTTTTCAGAAGCCCATTGGTGCATTTTACAATGGGATCTTGTAGTGTGTCATGAGAAAGAAAAAATATGCAGATATGTTATGGAGTGGTTTTTATTTTCAAATGACTGTGTTGTTGACAGCTATACATATAATACATATATATAATCAAGATACTAAGAAAAAAAATCTAAATTTACCAAAATCTGTATATTTTAATAAATGCATAAAGCTTTATTGTGTGCCTTTGCATTTAAAAATCAAAGATGAACTAAGGGATTTGTAAAGAAAGCCAGAGACAAATGTGTCTTAGAATTAGTTTCCATAGTAATGTAAATCTTTTAAATTAAAGACTAAACCAAAAAGTAATAATAAAAAAAAAATCCCATGTAAATTTTGTTAAGCCAATCAGTACCCCAAGTTCTGATATTTTTTCAGTGCTAAATAGAAGCTAGAAATTAACAAAATCTTGCTTTAAGTGATTCAAGTCCTGGTAGAGCTGGGGAGAGCTCTGCTGGGCATCAGGGACCTCCACACTGGGGTGACCACCATGGCTCACAGCCAGCACTCCATACTTGGTGTTAGGAATGGTGTGGAGCAGTTTTTTGATTCAGGAGAATTATATTTGATCCTATTTTGAGGCTTTGGGTCAGCAAATGAGCACTAAAATCCTTAATGAGCCGCCAGTGCTGTGGCTAATCCAGACCAAGAGAGCCGCACAGGGAAACAGAGTGTTTTGGGCAGGCTCAAAGCAGGTGTTTCAGCTTTGATCTTTTAAAAACTAGAAGAGTTTAATGTTCTTTGTGCTTCCTCAGAACCCTTCCCCTCTGTGGTGCCAGCACTAGTAGTGCCCCATCACGTTCTTGGCCCCATCTCCTCGCACCCCATGGTTGCACAAGCGCATTTTCCTGCAGCTGCTGCGGTGTTGTTTTGCTTTGTTTGGTTTTTAATTCTCTTCCCTGAAATAAAACTTCTTCCTTCCTCTGAGCAGCACTGCCAGGGTCTTTTAGGAGTTGGATTTGGGGTCAGATGTTGGTAACCTGTGGCTGTGGGCAGAGCACACAGAGCCTCAGCGCCTCTCCCTGCCAAGGGTCCCCAGCACTGTAAACGCAGTCGAACCCAATGGGAAGAAATGACCATGTCTGACTCAATTCAGAAGGCTGAATTATTTATTATAGCTATCCTAAAATACATTAATATACTATATAAAAGGAGGATACTAAAACTACATACTACTTTCTCTGACTCTAATACAACTCGTGACCCTCTCTGAGAGCCCAGCCCCAGGTGGGTTGGATCTCAAACAATCCTCAACAGAATCCAATCGAGCACTCACTCCAGGTAAACAATTCTCCAAACACATTCCACATGGGAAAAACAAGGAGCAGAAATAAAAATTGTTTTCTTTTTCATTTCTCTCTGTGCACCTCTATGAAAAATCTTGAGAGGGCGAGAAATGTGCCTGGCACACCCCAGCACCACATGCATGAGGATCGCGGAATGGATGAGTTTGGAAGGGACCGGGTGCATCCTTAATGGGGTGGGCAGGAAAAAAAAAAAAAAAAAAAAAAAATCCCCTAAATGCTGCCTGGCAGGGCTCGTTCCCAATCATGCACCTCCCGCAGCACCAAAACCCTCCCCCGAGCATCCCACATCGGTGTTCTTGTGCTTTTCCCTCCCAGTTTGCTCCAGGGCTGTTTGCCGGCAGCATTGCACGGGATTTCAGCTCCGAGGTGCCCGTGGTTAGGGGGGTAAAGCCGCGGGCACAATCCACAATCCCCGGGCAGCCTGCACAAGCTGGCACGTCTGTGCCCCGCTCCGCCCGGGGCATCAATGGCAGCACTGACAGCGCGCTCGGGCTGCACAAGAACCGCCTGTGCCCTGCCCGTGATCTCATGGGCACAAGTGTCCTGCCACTGCCACCACCACTGCCACCGCCACTGCCACCCCGGGACACCACCCAGCCCGCACAGCACAGCCTGCTCGCTGTGAAGGGCAGATGCTCTAAAGCAATCTGTGAGTGCCAACATCACCAAGAACATGGATGTAAGGAAGAAGAAGGAGGAAGAACAGGATCAGGCCCACTTTCCCCCATCTTAGAACTCCTGACCCCCCTGTACAAAGTAAAACCCCCCTGTACAGGTATTAAAACCCCCCTGTACAATACTAAAAAAATTTCCCCTCTAATTTGTGACTACTTTTACTATACCATCTAACACTCTGTGACCACTTGTTCCACCTTCAAAGTTGGTAACTCATTCCATGGTTCAAACTCAAGATCACAGCTGTTTTCAGCTGCTTGCCAGGGTCTAAAATGCTTCTGACCAAGGCCTGGAACCTCTGAAAATGTCTGAGGGACATTTTGAGTTCCGACAGGAGGGGAGGTGGGAGCTGCAGCACCCTTGCCTGTGGCTGTGTCACTCACTTTGGTTTCTCTAGATGAAGCAGAGCAAGGACAGTCCAGAATGCACGAGGCTTGACTTACAGCCTTGTTTTCCCGTTATTCATCATCCCAAAAACTTAGTTGCTCAGACCCTTCTCCTCCTCCTGCTGCCTCCCCACTGGGGCTCTCCTCTTACCCATGTCTGAGCAGCAGCTATTCCCTTTTTCCTTCTCTTGGCTTACACAAATTGTTTGAACTGAGTTAACATCTCTGGGAACAGATGGGATTTTGTATCAGTGTAATTAAATTGCTACAGCCTCTGGTAAGGGCAGAGTTAGATCTTGATCTTACACAGTTTTGATCAGAGCAATGACCCCAGATCAGACTCCTACTTTAGTTGAGAGCAACATGAGGTCTGACCTTCATGGTGCTTGGGGTCATCTCCACCTCTTCAGGGGCTTTCTAATTCTTCCCAATATAAAGAAACCCACTAGTGGGTACAACTGGTACAAGCTGCTACTGGGAGCATTGAAAGAACCAAAGGATAAGATAACGAATAGTCTCATGCAGGAAGATTACTCATATTTAAAATATTCTTCATTTAATGCCACGGCAGAGCATTTTTTCATCCTGAACTGCTATAAAAAAGGAAAATCTTCAAAATCATTGGCAATCCCTGTCATGGAGAAACTGGCTATGGAAACACACAGGAAGGAAGGAAAAGTAGTCAGGGTTGCAGGTACTCTGTTATTTATTGTACAGTATTTCACTGAAAGTACAAAGGCATCATCAGTACTCACCAGAATTGTATTGTAACAGGTACATTATACCGCATGTTAAAATGTGCTGCTTTAACGAGGCAAGACAGAACACAAACTTAGAGGAAGAAAGAAAGGAGTTTAAAAAAATGTAAAAATACACTTTTTAGTAACTGATCTGTACAAAAGAAAAAAAAAAAAGAAACTGAAGCAGAGGGCAGGGATTAGAGCCCCCAAAGTCATTTATAACTATTTAAAAAGGCACTGTTATCTATCATGTCATTAGGACCTTTGGGTTCTGTTTCCTTCATACTGATGACTGTGGGGGTAGGGGAAACACTGTTACTGAAATGATCAGACTCATACAAAAGTATTTACAGAGAAAGGCAGAAAAATCCCCTCCTCTTGTTCCAAAAGAGAAACATTTGCCCTGTGGGAGAGGACAGCCTTTCTCCCTATCCTCTCTCCCTAGCCATGCCAGACCCGTGACCTTGAGTGGGAGAAATCAAACAGTGAGGATGGGGGAGAAGCTGTCAGAGTCCTCCTAACAATGGGAAAGTGTCTCTCTCATTTCTGTTTTATTGCTTTAAACTCTCCTATAATCAGGGGAGCAAGAAGATAAACTAAAATCCCTAAACCCCACACCACAACCCCAAACCACCCTGGCTGCAAGAAGCTGGGGGCAGGTGGTCGGGACAAACCGGTGAGGACCAAGAGGTAGGGCTGGCTGGAGCTGTCTTTCTAGAGAAAAGGGGGAAGAGATGGGGAGAATAATGCTTCAAACTACCAGACATTTGTGCTGCTTTTCTAAATCTCTCCCTGGGAGCCTGACAGCCGCGTGTGTCAGCAGAAGCAAACCCAGGGCGCACGAACCCACCAGCCAAAGCATCGGACGGCAGCCGTGGGGCGTCCCCGGGGCGTCTACACGTGGGCGCTCTTGGCGTGGGTGGGCGAGCTGGATCCTGAGCCGTAGTAGAAGCGGTTCTCCCCGAAGGTCTGAGCGTCTCCTGAGCAGCAGACGATGACACAGCCTCCAAAGAGGCAGAGGGCAGAGCCGATCCAGCCCGTGTACAGCGAGTAGCCGAAGCTCATGATGGTGGTCTCGCGGTGGGCGCACACCGGGAACCAGATGGTCGCCACGACGCCGCACATGGCTGGGGACGGGGGAAGGACAGCGTTAGGGTTCTGGCCTGGAGGGAGTGACAGCAGAGCGTCACACGTGTCTAGGGATGGAGAGGAAACCCATCCCTCCTCCCTTCCAGTCCCACCCCAGAAGAAGCGGCATCAGCGCTGGGTCCAGGAGATCTCCAAGCAGGAGGGAACATGGGAGCCTCAGGAGTGAGAGATGGAGAGAGAACAGCCATCTCTCTCAGGAAGGAAAAACAACAGCTGCCTGACACAACATAATATATTTATTAGAAGGGAAACAGATTTGTTCCCTAAAAATATCGTCAAGAGGGAAAAAATGAGAGTCATCCCTGAAACTGATGTTGTGGAGAAGTGCAGAATTAGGAATAGATTAGATATGAAGAGGCCATGAAAACCATATGGATCAATGAGAGAATAAAATCTGTGGACCTGTGTGAACTGCTGTAAATCCCTATTTCCACATGGACTCACCTGCTGTGTCCTCAGCCCATGTCCCTCCTCATCATTGCAGTGGCTCTACTGGGTCACATAAACTTCACCAAAATCTCCCAGCACTCTAAGGCAGAGTAGGGTTTATGAAATACGAGCAGAAAATGAGCAGGGACAAAATAAGCAGCAGTTAGGCATTGCTGGGGTTTTTTCATGGAAAAGGAAATGTCTCACAGCTCTGGAAAACAGATTCTACTTCCATGTGGAAAATTTCTATCATGTGATGGGGACAAACCCAGCAAGGCTCTCCAGATATTTACTGAATTGAATAAAAACGGGACCTGAAGAGTCTGCAGAAGAGAAAACAGGATCCTACCTAAGGACTACAGTGGGTCAAAAAATGACTGCAGGCTTCACTTTTTACTTGATATTCCAGAGGGGGTTTTTCCACAAAAAGCCAGAAGGCAGCTGCAGTGGTGCTGTGAGGTGACATGTGAGGGAGACAGTCCCCACAGAGTCCCCACATGCACTGAGGGCAACGGGAGTTGATGGTGTTAATCACCTCCCAGGAGCAGGTCCTAAAACAATACTCCTTGATGGCCTGTACATCTGAGAAGAATTAATCTGTCAATATTTACTTGCCTCCGGGACAAGCTGTGCAGGACTCCATCCTTGTGGCTATCAGAGAATCAGAGCAAAACAATAACAGGACCATGGCAGCGTTACAGATTTCCACCGACCGTGTTAAAAGGTATCTGGAGGCAGTGTCAGAAAGTTAAGGTTGCAAGAGGGAAAAAGAAAGGGGTGAGAGTAAAAATAAAATTGTTTAGTTAAAGCAGAGAACAAACCGTAGCTCCTGGCCGGTACAGCAAAAAACCCATCCCCAAAGCTGTAGTTATTGTGAGAGAAAATATTTTCTTATGGAAAAGAGAAGAACATTTGAAGGATGCTTATAAAGCCAGAAATAATTTTGGGCCTCCTCAAAGGAAGGGCCCCGCAGCTTTGGAAGGAATTTTGGAGAAAGCAGGGAGGGGAGAAGAGCATTTCTCCTGCATGTGGAGTGGTCCTGCAAACAGCTCATGAACCTCCAACGCTTTAAAACAAAAATGTATCAGTTGGGAATCCACAAAGCATTCTAATGGGCTCTGCAAACAAAACTGCTTTGTTGTCCGAAAAAACACAATCATCTTTTCTTTCTCTGTCAGCAGTAAATATATATATATATTTGTCTATAGACTATAAGACCCTTATCTCTCCAGACCCTCCCCCACAAGACAGGACCGAAGAAAACACTTGCACTGGGGTGAGAAGAGCTCTCAGGGATGCTCACACAATGGCTTCTCTTGTGCATGTGGTTCCACTACATGTAAAACACCTTATTTTAATGCTGACAATGCCAGAAACACAAGCCAAGGACTTTGCATGGGTTCACTCGACCTCTCTGTCCTCGGAGGCCACCAGCTGCCATCAGTCACCAGTGACCCCGTTGCTGAGCAAGAGGAATGCCCTGGAACAGGACTGGGCTTCATCGCTCTGCATAGATTAGGCTGGGCTGTAAATCCTCCGAGGGGATGGGAAAAGGACAGTCAGCAATTGCAATGTCTCTCTGTGGGCTCAAATTTTATTCTGGTTGTACCACAGGGAAAGGCTGAAAAAAAAAAAGGTGATTTGACAAGAAACCAAAAAGATTTGACAGGAAACCTTTTCCAAAGAGATTGGAAAGGGGGTTTTAGGGCGACTTTCAAGTTCTAAAATGGCTGCCTACATGGAAAAGAAGTGTAGATAGAAATTGTTTTCCCTTCTCTTGCGCTAATGTCAGGACATCCTTTGCCTCTCTCTACACGAGAAATCTTCAGACAGTAGAGCTGCTGCAGCCAATATAGTCTAGCAGAAAAATAAAAGACGGTCTGCAAAGAGAAGGAATATTTTCTATTAGAGCAGCCAATTCAGTTGGGAAAACAAGCCTGGTTTGGGGCACATGTGTGGAAATCCTGCCTGCTTTTTGCAGCTGGAGTAGGCAATCTTGTAAAAGCCACTGCCTCATCCTAAAAAACCCTCTCAGCACTGCATGGCATGAATGTCCTTGCTCCATCAGATTGCTGTGAATCCACAGGGACACATCCCAGCTCCCAGTGTTTCCAAGTCTTTTTTAAGTGTGGATTTGCAGTAGCTCAGTCTGCTGAGCTGAAACCCTTAATACTCAACATCAGAGATGTGTTGGAGTCAGAAGGACGTGCACAGAGACAAGAAGCACAGAAGGTGCTTGGGGAGCTGGGAGAGAGGGAACAGGATTGTTCTAACCCAAGGGACAGTGAGTCCCTGCCAAATTCCTTAACAGTAAGTTAAAGGCTTTTTGCAGAAGAAAGAATACTTTTCTTTCACATCTAAATTTAACTATTCCGAATTGCTGACTCAAAGTCACATGGATTTCTCTTTCAAAGCATTTAGTTGAATAAAATAGATAACATTTTTTTTTCTGCATTCAAGGCAGTCTTTTTATCTTAATAACTATGGTTTTACAAGTAAACCTCAGGCAGTCTTCAGGAAAACTCATTAACACCCTTTACTTAGTACCCAATGGCTTATTTTATAGTAGCAATTCCCACTAACATATATTTCATCTATTTTCCAGTGTCTGGGTCCCTCTCCTCCACTGGGAAAATGTCCCCTCGGTTACCAGCAAGTGGTCCTCCAAATTAGTATCAACAACACGGGCTGGGCCAGGGATTTTCCATCAACACCATAGTGTGAAATATTTTCACACCAGCTCAGAGCAAACCTCTGCTGACGGCTGTTTTCAGCCATAAATCAATTCTCTTGGTCAGATAGGATCAAACAAAGCCATAAACACATCAGCAGCAAAACAGCAGGGCGTGCACACAGGTTGCACTCAGGCAGCCTGTGATTATCAGTGGACAGAAAAATCAATGGAATATCTGAGCCCATTATTTTCCTGGCAACTTTTCAGTTTTTTCTATATGTATTTATTCTTTTATTTTCTTTTTGGCTCTGTGCTGTGTTTCAATCCCTGTTTTCCCTTATACCAAATTTCAGTGACAAACTGCCATCCCTTCCCTGAGCAGCAAGTGAAGTTTGCCTTGGGGCCAGCTTCCCTATTTGCATCCCCACTCCCTATTTCTGCTGCATTAAGGAGTGTTTTGGGGGCCATTTTCTTTTAACCAGAGCTCTGGATGTTGCTCTCCCCTAAGAGGAAAAGTCTGGAGCCTGTGAGGTTGTGGAAACCATGAGTGAGAGTTCAGTGGCTGGAGGGTGAATAAAAACAGTCCAGGGCATGCTACTTCTAGAATATAATGGATTTTAACTCAGTGTTGTATCTTCCAGAGCCTGATCCATGCTTGTTAACTGCTCTGGAATGCTGACACCTCATCTTGCAGCTAACAGATCATTAATCAGCTTAAATAATGTCAAAGTCCTAAACTCTGTACATTATTCTTCTTCCAAAGGGACTGTCTTGCTGATGGGCCTGGAAAAAAATGGGCTTCGTAAATATAAATGTGGGTTGGTTTCCTCTTTCCTTTATTTAAAAAAAGCAACCTAGGAGCAAAAGAAGCTTATTTATTCTTCATTTTTGATCTGACAAAAAGAGCATTATTGTAATTGTGACTAAAACATTGTGACCAGGCTGCTGATCCCAGCCCAGATCATTCAGGGCATCAGCAACACCAGTAAATCTTTCACCTGTAGGTGCTTGAGAGCTCACAGGAGTGAAAATCAATAAGATATGGTCTAAATCTGACCCAAAGATAATTTGTCTGCCAATGTCTCCATGACACAAATGTGAGAGATGTGATCTCTCAGGCTTCCTTTCCTCACAGGATCTGCCTAGCTGGAAAGCCGTGTGCTGAGGCAGAGGGGGACCTGGTTTGTGCAGCACCACAACTCTCCATCATCCCCTCACACCTGCTCTCCTCCCTGGTGTCCCACTGCAGCGTGATGGGATGGGATAGTGGCACACCAGACACCAAACCCTGGTGGGACACTGCAGCACAAAGGATTTCACTTGTTCTAATACAGTGGTACCCAACAGTGTCACTGGAATTTGCTGCCTTTGGTCCTGTCATCCTCTTTCCCTCTGGGATTTTTAGGGACAGTCCTCCTGCCCCCACACCTGCAGCCATGCAAGGAGGGCTGACCTGCAGCATAGCTCTCCTTGACTGGAACCAAAATCTTGTGGCTTTTGTGGCAAAGTGCAGCTCTGCTGGGCCTCCCCATCCTGGGCAGGGCAGAGCAGACTCCTCCAGCACTAAAATTTCATTCACAGGGAGAAAACCTCCACCTTTTCTGTCACTTCTCCAAGCCCAACTATGTGACTCAAGGTTCCAGGGCAGGGATGAAGATCACATTCCAGCATGGCTGTTCATGATTGGAATGTTCTGGACTGGCCCTTTAAAGCTGATGTTAGGACTTCCAGCTGTGCTCTTAAACTGCACAGGCCCCTTGGACTCAATCCCTCAGATTTGGGATGTGTGGACTTGTGCTAACCACAAGGTGATGGAGGTGGGATGACTTGCATGGAAGGAGCATCCAGAGGACAGCCCTTCCGAGTGTGCAGCTATATTCAGCGCCCACTTGAAAAAAAAGAAGAAGAAGAAGAAAGAAGACGGGCATGATGTCAGTGCTGGCTGCCAGCGAGCAGCAGAGCCACACAAAGAGGTCACTTTGCCTCTCCCCTCCTCCTCTGCCACAGACGGGTGACAACAAGGCCCCACAGGCTGTTGCTGAGATGACGAGGCCTCAAGAACATGCAGGTGTTGCATGGGGGACAATGAGCTCCACAGTCTGAGCTGCTCAAAACAATCTCCTCCACAAGCACCGAGGACGGGAAGAAATTCCCAGGGGAGCTTGGAGGCCAAGGGCGAGGCTGGCCAGAGGGGGTTGGGAGGCACAGAGGGCACGCCAGTCCTCCTGCCGTGCCAGTGCCATCCCTCTTCCCATGTCTGTGCCACCTCCACGCTCCTTCCCTCGTGGTTTCCACAGGACCAGCCCCGTTCAGTAAGGGCTTCCCTTCCCACATGCCTCAGCTTACTTGCCCTGGATGTCCAGGGAAAATTGGGAGGCTCTGCCTTCCCCATAAGTAAATTGAAAGTTTAGATCCTTTCCAAAAAATCACTGCTACAGTGAGCCACCACCTCAGCTTACTTGCCCTGGATGTCCAGGGAAAATTTGGAGGCTCTGCCTTCCCTATAAGTAACTTGAAGGTTTAGATCCTTTCCAAAAAATCACTGCTACAGTGAGCCAGCACCATCCATGCCTCAGCTTACTTGCCCTGGATGTCCAGGGAAAATTTGGAGGCTCTGCCTTCTCTATAAGTAGCTTGGAAGTTTAGACCCTTTCCCAAAAATCACCTCCAGGGTGAACCAGCACGATCCATGCCTGCTGGATCCGATGGCCTTCCAGGAGAAGCCGTGCCTGAGAACCCCACAAGGCAAAGACAGAGAGATTCACATCCCTCCCTCTAACTCTGCTTCATCCCTGCCTCCTGTCCTTGTCCTCCCACTGCTGCCCGTGCCTTTTGCCCACCCTGGAGAGCTCCAGGGCCTGCAGAAACCCTTCCAGGAGGAGCCGCCCGGGGACAGGGACACGCTGCAGCCCCGGCTGTGGCTGTGCCTTACCCAGGAGGATGATGAGGATCCCTCCCAGCTGGGAGCGCCGGTACTTGGCCGCCCCGGGCTCGTGGCCCATGCGGATGCAGGGCAGCACCGTTATCAGCAGGAAGATGGCGGGAAGGCCCAGCACGGAGGCGGCGATCATCAGCGCTCGACACGCTTGGACGTACCCTGTGGGCAAGGCCAGGGAGGAGGGTTTTATTATTGGCACAAGAAAAGGAGGCTTTGGACCAAAGCTGCTGTTTGGAGATTTTGTAACTGTCGGAATCTGTGGTATTGGTGATTCCCAGATTGTAGAAAGTCTCTGTCTTTCTGCCCCGTTGACAAAGCAGAAGCCATAATTCGTCTGTGCTGGTTTCAAGGTTGTTTATTCTGTTTATCTCTAACATGTTCTGCTGCCCTGCCGCAGCTCTGTCCTGCAGGGCAGCGTGTGGGGCTCTGCCCTCAGTGGGATGGTACAAACATTAAATACCAGAAACTACGTGTACTATATTTACAATAACGTGCCAATATCTGTCACCTACGTTGAACAGTGTGTCCCCAGCCTGAACCAACAGAAAAATGCCAACACCACAGTGAAACATGGAGGGCATGAAGAAGGAGAAAAAGGACAAGACACACCCAATTCCTCCATCTTGTCCCCTCTGAACCCCTAATCTAGAAATCTAAAATTTTACCTTTGCACCCATGTCACACTTAATTATTACTCTTATCAAACACTCAAAGCTTGTAATTCATCCTGTAAGATTGAAAACTCTTTTCCATGGACAGAGATCACAGCCAGTGTCTCTGGGGGCTCTGTCCAGGGGGGTTCCTGACCCCTGCCAGGGTCCCAGACCTGCCAGGGCAGCCAGAGGGAAGCTCTGGATTCCCACATGTAACTACATTTAAAAGCCCAAGACATGCACGGAGTACGGGAATTGTGTTCATCCCTGTGGAAACATTAAATCGTCACCAGGCACAGGGCGGTGAGGCTGCAGTGCAGTGGGGAGTGCGTGGATAGGGGATGTGCAGGATCACAGTTTCCCAACAAACAAACAGCACTGCCTGGAAAACACAAGCTCTTCCCAGAGAGACACTGAGAAATCATGGAGCTGGAAATTACGGGATGGGAAAGTAGGAGAAATTTTCTCTAGGAAGGAGTTTCCCTGTATTTTTTCATAGTGAGAGCTTGATCAAAGAACAAGATTTTTAAATCTTCAAAATTAAATAGCAGTAATTTAAAGCCTCAAAGACTCCCCCATCATTCAGAGGGCTGAATAGCTGTAGACCCACTACTGACACTGCAGGTCCATGGGATGCTGCCAGCAGCTGCCCCGAGCACTGTTGACCTGGGAGGAAGAGGATGAGGAGGAGGAGGAGGAGGGAGACTCCTCACCCACAGCCACACCTCAGCACTGCACCCCAAGAGCTCAGCCTGGCTCTGGGGTCTCAGAGGAGATCCATGGCTTGAGCTGAGTACTGGCACAGGCCTTCCTTAGGGAGAAGATTTTGCAGAGCTGCTGGAGCTGCCGTGACCAAGGGCCAGGTTGTTCCTCTGGATCCCTATGGACATCCCAGGATGCCCTGGCACTTCATCAGCTCCCATTCCTCTCTTCCCTGTGCACAAGGCAACAGGAAACAACAGGCAACAGGGCCTGTGGGGGTGCTGGGCAGGAGCATGACATCTCTGCCACTCTGGGAGGGTCTGTGTATCACTATATATTATTTTAAAACATATATGTATATCTAAATGTTATAATATATGTTTGTATGTCATTTATATATACTATACAAAAATTACACGTAAGTAACTTACACCAGGTCATTATTAGCATGCAAATTAGCATTAGCAAAAGGAAAAGGACAAATGTCAGATTTGCCCCAGTGCCTAGTGGCCTGCCCCAGTTTTCAGGACAGTCTCAGCACAGTGAGTGGGCTGGCTCTCTGTCCCCTCTTATTAACAAAAAGAAGCTGTCAGATGCAGGCATGGCATTTCAAGATACTTCAACCAACACCAGCAAAGAGGGGACTTGAGCACATCCCACTGACACACAGGTACAACACCAGGAATGAGGATTTTACTGTTTCTGGAAATGCAGACACTTTGTGTATTGAATATTTGCTTGAATTTTTCAAGAGGAAACTTAAAGAAAATTGTTACCTGAGGAATTCAGGGCATAAAAGCAGACCCTAAACACAGGAGATGGCTGTGCCCTGTGCGGATTCTGTGCAACCAATCCCAAGTAAATGAGAATAAAACCAATTCATCTTAAAGACTTGACTCAGAGAAAGAAAGGCTCTAAATATATTTCAGCTATTGGGTGCACCAGGGTAAATTTCCCTCTCATTCCATTCCATCAAACAGGCTACAAACAGAAACATCTTGGTTTGTGATTTGCTTCTGCTTGAGGGAAGCTTTGCTCTCTGCTACTGCAAGACCCATTCACTTATTTATTAAGTTGCATTCACTAATATTTCTTTGGGGCAAAACCTTCCTCTGTCTCCTCTGCTGGATCAGATTTAACAACAGCAGCAGTAAGGAAGGCAAACTTACTAAAATAAAAGTAAGCACACACAGAGAAAGGGAGAATGAGAGACTCAGCATTGCTAAGGGCTGTGTGCCACAGACCAAGCTCTGTAACAGAGAGAAATTCAGGAATTATATTTTTAACCTCTTGTAAAATTATCTTCACGACAATGTAAACCAGTAAATAAGGAAACATCAAAGAAAATGACAAGGAATGGTCATTTCTGCCCCGTCAGCTTTGAGAGAGGCACCTTTGACATGGAAGAGGAGTTGCAATCTAAAACACAGCAGAATTAAGTGCTACAGAGTGAACAGAGGTTGAAACTGGCAAGCCCACAAACTAAACTTACAGGGAGCAGACCTCACAAGACTTTGGCAGGTTTATTTAGCCCAAAAGGTGTATTAATGCTGATTAAACACCTTGCTTAATTTTTGCCTTTCAGTAAACTAGATGAAAGTTACTATATCTTTAAAAAATATCAAATTAAAAGTAGTTACATCAGTTTGCTGTGTAAAAGTTCTGTCTTGCCTCAGAATCTGTGGGAAGTGCAAGACCACCAAGACTAATGATGATCTTCTGAAAGATTAAAAGCCACAGCAGCATTAATAATAGACACTGAAAAATTCATTATGCTCCAAATCACTTTAAGGAATCAAACCTTAACATTTGTAATAGTGCACCATCCCCTTGAAGTGCTCTATTACACCTCAGTGTGCTCTGTACATCTTGCAGTGCAATCCAGAGACAAGAGGTGAAAGGAGCAGTGAGATTTTACTAAGAGCAGTTAATAAACATTTACTGGATTTTAGCAGCCACAGAAAACACGAAACCTGTTTGTGATTAAAACCAGGTGTAAATCAATGGAAATCATGTTAAGAGCTATCATTCAACTTCTTTAGGGCATCCAAAGGAGCATCTCCCGTGCTGATGAAGCTGAAGGAGCTTCACCATCACCACCCGGGGTGGGAAGGGGAGGATGGGACGCACTCACCCGGCAGTATGAGGATGTCCACGAGGGGTTTGCAGTGATAGAGCCCCGTTGCCATCACACAATCTGCCCACAGCCCCTTGGATCCCAGCTCGTCCATCTTCCTGCAGGTGGTAATGGTGTAGCCGCAAGTCACCACCCAGTCGTTGGTGGCCGTGGCCACAACCACCCCAATCCACCCTACAAAGCTGCAGACAAATCCAGCCAGGTGCAGGCAGGTGGCCACCATCTCGGTCCTTCGGTGGGGACAGCAGGACAGGACAGTGGCCTGAGCTCAGTGGGGCTGAGCGGAGCCGCCCGGAGAGGTGCGGGCTGCAGGAGAAGGAGGGATGGGGATGGGCAGGAGCAGGTCCCTGCTCGGGCTGTGCTGAGAACACCCGGCTGCCTCTGCCCAGCTCCCTCCCTGGGAGGGGTCAGAGCTGCCTCCAGCCCCACAGCGCATGGGAGGAGCGAGTGGGGAGCCCCAACTTCTGCCGGAGCATCCGCAGCGTCCGAGGGACGGGGGATGTGCACAGGGGACGGGAGATGCGCGGTTCGCACCCAACCGGGCTTGAAAAACGAGCCAGAGGGACTTTTTTCAAATGCAAACAAACAGTCTGACTGTTCGAAATTTAGCGCAGAGGGAGAAAAATTAAGGCAGTGTTTGCCAGCTGAACTTTAATAGCCGCACTGGTATATCCTCATGGAAAGGTAAGGGGAGGAATGTGGTGGACAGTTACTCAAAAGGTGGAATTGATCTCATCAAAGCCATCAGCACAGCTGCTGTAAAGGGACAAAATCAGGCTTGGGTCTTTCCCGATGTTTCCAGTAATTGTAAAAATATAAAGACCCACCACTGCTTTCTCTGCTGTGCCTGGGCTTTCAGGAGTATTAACTAACACCCCCTGAGTCTTAAATACGTGTGTAACAGCACCACAGTCCCACTTTTGAATCCTCAAATTAAAATGAGCAGCTTTTAACTCAGACTTTTAGTCCGAGCAAATTTACTATATGAATTTTAGTACATTCGATAAAACAGGAGCAGCTCGCTTCAAAACGCCAGAAGTGGAGAAACTCCCCATCTTCCCGTTCTGCACCAGGAGAAACAGGCAGGCAGGATATTTTCCCAGCTTCGCTCTGTATTTTCCCAGCACATCCCTGAGGATATTTCATGGCCGTGTGTCCTCCTCCAGCGGTTTGGGGAAGGGAAGGTTGGAAGGTTGGAAGGTTGGAAGGTTGGAAGGATGCTGCATGCCTGGGGAGACCGCTAGTGGAGAGCTGTCTGCGCTGCAGGGCAGCGGACGGGACAAGAAAGCGACACAACAATGAATTTCATTCACTCCCAGAGCTGCCAGCGAGAAAGAAACACGGGAAACGCCACTCCGAGTTGAAAGTGCTAGGAATTAAATATATCCTGCTCCTCATTCAAGGGTGTTTTTTGCCGTTCTTTAACAACTAAGAAGAAAAACAAGAGCATCCTAACTATCATTTGTCATCTGCTCCTTAGACCCAAAATTCAAGGGCATGAGGTCACAGTTTTCTGTCAAAGCTTTATCTGAACACTGGAGCATTACCAATATAGTTGAAAATTCTTTTTCAAGAGAAGCTTTTATAATAAAACAAATATAATAGTTGCTTTCACATTTGTTTTATATTGTTGGTTGCTTCTTGGGTTTTTTCTGTACCTGGTTTATGGTATTTCTGTGAAGCCAAGCTGGCCTTCAAATTTCCTGATGTGATTCCACCTTCCTGCGTGGCTTATCCTTCTACTGCACCTGCCTCAGGTGGAGTGTGCTGTTACTGACAACCAAACACAAATTTATGTTGTCTAAGGGTCAATTCTAGATGGATTTAATCTTCCCCTAAAAAAATATTCCTTCTTATTTATTATACAGGAGATAAACTTGTCACCTGTTGGGTGGAAGTGGTGCTGTTCACTTCTTGGAGTGAGTAATTGGACAGACCATGTGCCACCTCCTGAATTCAAAAGGAGACACGAGATTTCACCCCAAAGCTGAGGTTTGGAATCATTTTACACAGTGATAGTGCAGGCACATCCTAACGTACAATTTTAATATTTTTAAAATGCTGTGAGGTACTTATTGGTATATACATCCTTCTGTAATTCAGTCTACATTTTTGGTTTCCTTAACCACAAAAGCTTCTTAACTGTGTTTCCTTCACAAATGTATTTATCAAGGAGTGTGCAGGAGCAAGGAGTAAATTTGACACTTTGGTAGCCAGCACTGTTCAACAGAACTCAAGCTGGTGCCCACGGGGCACAGTGTGAATTATTTCATTAATGTCAACAGAGACAGGAGACATTTACCATTTTGTCAGGGTTATAAATCACACCACCAACAGTTAAGTGAATATAAGTTCGTACAAGGCAAGTGGACAATGATTTACAAGATCAATAAAAGAAGGAACAGGAATGACTTGCCAGCTATATGCCAAATAAGCTGATACACTTTGGGCCATAGCCTTTTTAAAAGCAAGTGTAACACAGGCATTCCAGCAACAGTGTGAGCTCCTTAAAAATCAATCTTTTTACCCTTCACTCCTAGAGCTTTCCCTTGATCTGCATTGTTCTCTCTGACAAAAGACAGGCATTGCAATTAGTCATAGCTACCCAAGCCATCAACACCCCAGGGCTTTCTCATCCAAATGACTCACCTTCAACTTTTTCTGTACATTTTCAGCCTTATTGTTTCTTCCCTGTTTGGAAACACAGCAGTATACAAAAGCAAGATGGGATGCAGAAATAAACAAGTTTAAGTGGTACAGTCAGTTCTTAATTTTGTTCCATACTGAAGGCTGAGCTCATCATTGTAATTTTCATCTTTATCCCGGTTCATACTGCTCCTTTCTCTCTTTATCTGTAAAATACAGGCAGGCCTGTGGTAGCATTAAGGGTCTGAAATGACCTGAAACATCACCAGGATTTCCTATATGGGAGAGAAGCTCCTTATTACAAGGACAAAGTATTTTTGCACTGTTTTGAGGGGAAGAAAAAATAGCAAAAGGTGTGTCAATGTGCTTTCTTATGCATCAAGAAAATCTTCTCAGTATAAATAAAATTCCCCAAAAAATCTCCAAAATATTATTTGCACCAAAAGTTAATATAACCACATGGTTTACAAAAACTAAGAACTCCTGAGAGTCACTCACCATCCACAGTAACTATTTTTTCAGCAAATACAGTAAAATTCTCATTTGTGATTTTAATTTTGGATAATCTCAGCATTTCATCTGGCAATGTGTGTTTTTAATCTCATTTATTATTGAGATATAGTAGAGAGTTGTGAACAACTCACACATTGCTTGAACAGTCAAGCAGCAACAAAGCTGGGCACCAGAGAACTTGCCAAGTATGCAAGGAGTTCTATTTTCAGGTATAAACACCAAATTTATGCCAAGAGACATAGAAAGCTTGGTGCCAATGCATTTACAGAATCTTAAGAGCTTTAGAAAGTGGATCCACGGGGAGGGACAGCTTTGATCTTGTAGATTTTGCTTAAAATACCTTTTAGAGAACTGGAGACTGCTGCAGGCTGAGGGAGCTCTGCTAAGAAGTTTTGGTGTAATCAGATTTTAATTTACTGTACTCAAGGCAAGGAAGGCTCTGTTCTTGCAAAAGCACCAAGTTCAACAACTTCAAAGAGCCAAGTTTACAAGTCAGTGTTCAAAAATATGACAGAGACAAGGGTTCTGACATTACAGTTCTTTATTTGTTTTTGAGTCCACGATCTATACAGGTATTTACAAGGCATGGAAATGGATAACAGCACAAAATACAATTGAGGTATAAGCTAAGAGCACAGTATGTCATGTTTCAATAAATATAATTCAAAATTTGTAAACTAAGTGACCAGATAGATGCATCTTGTCTACTAAAACCATATAAAATATCTGTTAAATCTCACGTGAGGTAGAGGACAGTTTTGTGTGTCGTGTGATGCAACCACAGCAACGCTGACAATAAGACTGTACATCATTGGCAAAGTATTAAAAATTGTTGAATGCACTGATAATTTTTCACAGGCTTTTCCTGTGGTTTCAGAATTGTCACTCAACCTGTTGCCTTGAGCTAACATGGACTCAGCTGTTTTGCAGCTACTTTCTGTCATTTGAGAGAATTATACTGGCATGTCAACAGCAATAAATACTTCAGAGAGTGAGGATGAAAACACAAAAAACATTCTGTCAATCACAGAAAGCAACATGATGGCAACGAAATATTTCAGACCAACTTTTTATTATTTCCTAGAATTCATTTAAATACAGTACAGCTGTGCTTTCCTTTCAGTGAGGTATCTCTTAGAAGAAAAAAAAATTCAATTGATATCGTTACACTTAATTAATTTTCAAATAGCAAAATTTTATACCGTGTTTGCTGTGCTTGATGAAGTGCTTAAAACTCATTTTTCAAGCATTTTCCAACTGAACCACTAACCCTGAAAAAACCAATTTGCTAAGTAAGGGAGACACACTATAAAATCGTCGTGCAATTCGTAAGCAATAACTGCTTTAACAAAAGCTAAAAAATGACTGTATTTTTTAAATAGATATATGCAGCAAATAGAAAATTCTACAAGCTTTCTGTAAAGAAAACCAATGAACACTCACACTACAAATGTAATGAGCAAAAAGAAAATTGAAATTTGCAGCTTTCTGCTGCTTACTATCGATGGCTTAAATACAATTACTGAAATATTGCAAGCACAGATTAATAGGTAGGAGAAATTACATCTTTTGTCAACTTAACCATGTTATAGAAAACTCTCTTGTGTGGATTAATTACACGAATTAAGTGCAGAAAAAAATACAAAGTTGTTATCTTTACTGACAATCAAAATATATACTCTACAAACAAGTGAATTCTAGGAAGTTGACCACAACAGCATTTCGAGGCCAACTTCCCAACTAATGCTAGGAAAGGTTTCCAAAAATGTCTTAACACATTCTAGCTATCCCCTCCCCCAATACAAAACAAGAATTCATGAATAAAACATTGTGACTTCTAAAATACAGGCCGAGACTTATTTATTTTCAGGCCAATCAGTAGCTTTATGTTCCCACCCAACTTTTCCTACATCACTAATTGCATTATGCCTTTACTATGTACAGATGGTTTTACACCTAAGCTATCAATATATTAAATATAGAATAAAATTATTAGTTTAAGAATGTGAAACATAACTACATTCATCTAAATACTCCAACTGAATGATATGCTTTACAAAAACTAAAACACAGATTTAACTAAGTTTGGAGATTTAGATAAAAATCTCTTTCGTTGAGGGACACCTGGTTACACTGTGAGTGAGGTGTTTCCAGGCTGCCAAAATTACAAGAGTTTTATCCTCTAAGCTCTCATATTTTATTGATTAAAGTACACAAAGTGTGTTAAAGTCCTTTTTATAAAAGTATAGGAGCAAATTAGGTATTCACCTCCAATCCTACTTATTCCAAAAGGTGCACTAGGCAACTTCCATCTTGGTGTAGGTGTTTAAGAAAGTGACTTTCAAATTATAGACAATTTTAGAGCATTGTTCTACAGGCTTCATGTTACAACTATCTGGGAAATTTACTTCTTGCCTGAAAAGATCAGCAAGCAATGACTGAAGGCAAACCAAATACATAAAATGAGCATGCTGTGACTAAAAGCAAAGACCTAATGACTGATTTAGTCTCTACCATTAAGTGTGCACTTAAGTAAGGGCCCTCAAGTGTGCATTCCAAGTTCCTATGTCAGGCTGTAAAATGAACTATTCAACAAAATTAGGATAAGGTAGAAAAAAGGTCAACATATCTTTTTTCTAAAACTTAAAGAGCATTATTTACAATTTGCTAAAAAACTATCTTTCAGAGACTGTGAGCACACAAAGGTCTATGGCACATTTATGTATACATTATTACTTAAAATCAGTATAAAATTAAGTCTACACGTATGAAAATTGATTATGTTACGTCAAAAGCCTGAAAGTAGTATTTAAGAATTTTAAGAGGATTACAATAATTTAAAATGCATTCTAACTTTAGATTAACTAAATGGAATATTTACAAAGATACTTTTAAGGTCATTTTAATAAATGTTCCATTGGCTTTACCAGCCAGATGTTAAAAAATAATCAGGAGGCCTTATCTGCAATGCTCTGCTCCCCAGCCATCACACCCCCAGCACACACAACCAGAACCATTGAGTCAGTACCTTTCCCTCCAAACCAAGCTGCAAAAATAGGCCTTTTCCTTTTAAGTTTGCTTTTTTTCTTTTTTTTTTCCCTAGGTTGTTTTTTGTTTTTTGTTTTTTTTTTTTTTTCCCAAAGGAAAAATCTGGAGATGGGAGCTGAAGAAGAGAAAAATATAATCCTGGTATTCTTTTCCAGGAAGAGGTGGAATTAGATGATCTTTAAGATCCCTTCCAACCCAAACCATTCTATGATTCTCAACACTGACAAAGGAATTTTTTTTTCTTTTCATCTAACCTTGTCAGTGTAAATATGACATAGAGCTCATAAACAAATTTGTACAGTTATTAAAAAATCATCCTATGACTCTGTGACATTTAATTTACCACCTCATTTCTCATTCAATTTAAAAATATGTGCAATTTTATCTTTCACTGTGATATTCATTCTTGTTATATCACTAACAGAGAAGCAAAAAAGATTTTTCTGTTTTACTCATTGAGGAGGGGAAAAAAAATGAATGTAGGCTTTTACTAGTGGTTTCATCCAAAAATAATTGAATTATTAAGAGAATATTAAACTTAAGTACCTCAAAACCAGAAACTAAAAGTACAAGTTAAAATTATGTTGTGAAACACTAGAATTACTAAAATATTCCTATCACTGACATGACCAGCTGACATCTGCCAGCTGTATCCAATTTTTTGGAGAGAAGTGCAAAAAAGTTTTTCTTCATCCAACTTTAGCCATGCATTTAACCCACTAGGAACCAGACTTCAGAAGTACTCAGACATTATATATATACATAAAACAGTAATTCTGTACAATTACACATTTCCCAATGTTATAGCTTAACAAACATGCTGTATTTTCTTAATTCATGGTAACCCTACCATGCCATTCAAATACAGAGACTATCAAAATGATTTTTCAAAGTGCCATACCTCAGAATTTTATATTTTAAGCTATGATCACAATGTCAGTTAAGGCCTGTTCTATGTAATGAAAGAAAAATCCACAAGTTGGCAAGAAGCTCAAAGTGTAGAGGCTTAGGGTACTGAAGAAATTAATACATATTCCTTAATAAATATTCTTTTTGTTGAAAGCATCGATATCTGAAAAACAGTTAAATCAAGCTTTCTCAGTTTCTAAAAGGAAAAGCCCCACCTTCAAGCCTTTTATTAACGTTTCTTTCATATGTAATAGAAGAAAACAGAAGAAAACTTGTGAATTTTTAACTTCCCAAGATTCCACTGTAACTGCAAATTTTAAATTCACAAAACCAAACCAAATAAAAAAAAAAAAACAACCCCTAATGTTTTCCTCTTCCAGCAGAGCAAGCGAATGCTGGCTCTAACACTCCTTAGATTGATAACGAGTTGTTAAATAGACAATACTGAAAAGATCAGCTGACTTCACATAATGAAATTATGGGAAAAACTCATGCTGGTAAATCACTTTTGATACTCAATCAACAGTCAGTTCTGGCAATTTTGAGCTCTGCCTTACAGACAAAAAGCTGCCTTTACTTTCCTCAGTTCAAGAATACTGAAACCCAAACTATTTAAGACTTTGAAGAATTGAGGATATTTTAAATGTACTTTTATAACTGGATGTGCAATTGATAGCAAAATAAAGATACCCACATATGTTTTAACAGACAGTGTTAAAAGGTGTAGAGTCCTTAAGACTGCATTAGAAATAGACAGAAACTGGTCACTCTAAATCAAGAGTTTCGTATTTTTTCATTGCTTGAAAAAAACACCAGTACAAATCAATGCAGATTTTCATTGGCTAGGAAAATCTAAAAATGTCTATCTCTATTTATTTATATCTATGTATATCTTAATCTGGACTTGTCTGGGAAATAGAAATCCATAGAGAACACTTTTTCTCAGCACACAAAAATTGTTCACAATCATGAAAACCAAAACACCCTGTTTGAAGGACACAGTCATGCTTCCTCTTCCAATTTCTATTTTCCTTTCCCATTTTTTGAAGATTTCAGGATCTGTAGCTTCAGTTCCTTTATCATCATCTCCAGCTTTTCCCGGGCCTCTCGTTCCTGTCTCAGTTCATCCTGGAGCTCTTGTCTATCTGCCTCTGCATGATCCAACCTCTGCCTCAACTCTGCCAGCTGTGAAACACAAGAGACACAGACAGAGGCAGAGTAAATTTTAGCAAACATCAAAGGGTCACAGATGGCCACTCTATGCATCCAAGTACTTCAATCCACCAGAATTATGCAGTTATGAAGTTACCACTTACCTGCTACACCATTAGCAAACAGTATCAATGTAGCATAAACATCATACTATAATTTTAAAAATGACAAATCTAATTTTTAAGTGCATGTATGTTGTATCTATATGAACTGTCACACCAGACTGTCAATAACACACAGAATCTGTTGGGAAAAAATGTGATGATGTCTGCATTGGATGTGTCACAAATCCCAGAACAAACTGCATTTTTTCATTTCCCAAGTCCATTTCTCTTACCTGACAATATACTACTTCTTTATTTCAAAGCCTGAATGTATTTCTAAAGAAACAAAACCAACAACACTGTTTTCTGATGTTCCTTAGTAGAAATGAAATATTCAGGAAATCTTGAACATAACCATTTGTGTGTGTGTGTTCAAATACAAACCCGAGTCCACACAAATGCTTTTGTGATATATTTTGTGTTTAAACACAAATTAAGTATTCTTTTCCTTTTTGAAATACAGCAAGGCTCAAACTTGCTAGAATGTCACTAAAATTATTTACAGGGACATCTGGAAACATCTTTCCAAATGTGGGAAAATTCCTTATTGCTTATAGTACCAGCAGTTAAAACAGGGAGGAGACTGGAAAGCAGCTATTCTCTCTCCCATTGATCTAGGGGTTATTTCTTACTAAAAGACCTCATTCCATTAAAAAAAACCATTTGCCTTTATAATTACAGGTATCTACCTGAGGTACATCATCACTAAGCATCCCTCTCACTGAGAATTAGGAAGACAGCTCATGAGAAAGAACGAGCAGGAACACACAGGGTATTACTGGTGTTCACCAACTAATTCAGAACCCAGTGGGTGAAGGAATGGCTGGTTTTAGAGAAACACCACATTTCATCCCCACTTCTTTAATCAGAAATTCTTCAGCAGTTCTTAGCCAACAACAGGCTGTTAATGCAAGTCCTGCCTGCACAAGTGATGCAGTGAAGTGCTGCAGTGCAACAGTGCCCACTGCCTGCATGCTGCAGCACGTCTGTGGCTTTGATTTCCACTCTAAGGAGAGGTTCCAGGACTGGTTATTCTGCCCTACTGTGACTGACAGGGTGAAGCAACTGTTTCAATAAAGAAGTCAAAAAGGGCGACAAGACAGTGCATATTCAGACAGGCCTAGAAAGCTGCAAATACCAAATTCTTAATTTTGTTTAATGCACAAGGATACTCCCTCCCAGTCCACAGTTCTCAGACAGAAAAGGCATCCTGGGCAACTGCCTCAAGAGCACATCAGATTAAGGCTTTTTTAAAATGCTGTATACACAGCTTGGGGATGTTCTCTGTTCCCAAGACTTCTGTTTAACTCTGGTGCTTCTTGGAACCAGAATCTACTGCAAGATGTGACAAATAGAAAAAAAAAGTTCAAATTATATACTGTGAATAGATCTACCACAGAGGTAATGACAGAACAAACTTTTTCACAAGGAATGTATGTAGTTTTCAAAGTCTAACTTCAAAAGGAACACACAACCAATCTCCTTGGGGAACAATCCACAGTTTTCACCCTCCAAAGGGAGTAAGCTGCACAAGCCCTATAAAACATGCTGTACATGATGATCTCCCTAAATTAGAACACGTTGTTACTTGCACTAACAGGGCTTGTACCAGATGTTTAGTAAATCAGGCCTTAGTCAGAGAGGATTATTTCTGGCAGCAAAGGCCGGGAATCAGTGGAGTGGGATGTCATGAAATTAAATTCATGAGAAGGATTTACAATGCGAGTCTCTGCCCTACTCACCAAAAATACCAAAACCTGTCTCTCAAGTAGTGCCTGTTTCTCAGTTTGAGTCAGTCAGAACAGGAAATATACACAGCCATGAACAAAGCACCACAGAGCTCTACTGAGCTCAAGTTTTAGATTTTGTTCACTTTAAAAATGAGCCTGTTAAGACTAGTTTTCTGTCATATGGTGCAAAATAAAAAAATTAATCATAACTACAGCTGATTTTTCAAAGGGGCATTCCAAGGTTCCCTTTATCATTAACTGTATTTTTTCCCATTGGAATAACCTCCAACGTAAAGAAGCAATAGTAAAAGCTAAAAGGAAAGTGAGAGGAAAAAACAACTCCATAGGTTTTGACATATGAATCCAAAAGGCAAGAATGAGAGACACCAATATGATTTTCATTTCCAAGAAAACTCTTGGCCAAGTGTTTTTGTAGAGCCCAGAAGGGGCTTCTCAGATAGTGCAGAAGGTTCTACCAGCAAGGAACATGAGGAGCAGCAAGGTATGCTGCTAATCAGGCCAAAAGAAGGTTCAGAGGTTTGGATTTTTTTTTTTACATAAAATAAAAATAATGGTTACGTCTGTATCATGGGCAAGCCTATATACATTAAAAACAGAATTTGTTTTAAATGAGGATATAACAGACCTCATGTTTAATATTTCATCAATAATATCATATGTTTCTGTAAGGTACATTCTACCTCAGTTTCAATCAAGGAACAGGAAAATAAATATCGCTGTCGCTGACCTATTTTGGTATCTGTCTGTGGTGGCTGAATAACGCCTTCACAATTTCCTGATACACTAAACATGTTTTGTTTGAAATAAACCTTCCCTTCTCACCTGTGCTGCATATTCAGCTTCTTTATCTTTTTCCAAATTGGAGTCACAGCTACATTTTTGCTTCATCACTTGGTCCAGTTTCTTCTCCAAGTCTCTCTGCTCAAAATAAAATTCTTCCATTCTTTGTGCATGCTCTGCTTGCAAACACTCGAGTTCTTTTTGTAAATTCTGCTGCTCTTCAGTCAGCTCCTTCATAGCTTTAGAGTTGCTTAACATTTCCACTTCCTGTAAAGAAAGATCAAGATCACATATTCCTTCCTTTTAACACCAGAAAAGTTACAACAAACTCAGTTTAAAAGTGTTTCTGGAACCACTGAGGCCAAAAAGACCACTTGTAACTACCAATAAAAACAGCTGGATAATGGTATTTATCTACTTATCAATGACAGCATGGAATTCTGTAACATGCATTTAATTTTTAAGAAATTACTTCTACTTCCAAGTACATGGAGCTTTCAGAAACAAATTTGCATTTCCAGCAGTGAACCTCAGGAAGCAGCAGCACTGATTCACTAAAATATACTTCAAAGATGCAAGAATTGTAGCATCAGAAAACAAAATGACGTGTTTTATTTCTTTGTCCACTGACATTTTGATATTTTTAAACTCTTTTTTTTTAACTTATCTGCAAGGTTTATCTCCAACAGCAGAACAACTTTAAAGTAGCATCTCTAGGGCCCTACCTGAGCTCCTAGATTCTGCAATCAACACTTAAATTTAAATAAAATAAATTAAAATATTAGGTCTGTTCCATGGATGCAAGGAGCAAAGACAGTATTTCACTGAATTCAGAAAACAGAAATGTCACAAATGAACACAGCTTCTAAAATAATCCATTTTTAAAGAAAAGACTAAAAACAAAATCCCTAAAAGCATGGCTTAGCAAACAGGAACAGGAAAATGGTGTTCTTTTTTATACATGGCAGTGATAAGACTGTCCTTAGAATACCAATATCTGCATCTTTAAAACCCTGAAAACTGAGAAATTTTAGAGCATACAGCAAAAGCAGGAGCTGCTTGGACCCAACAGCTGCAAACTGAAGAAACACCACTTATTAGTGGGCTCAAAACTCATGAGCATAAGGGATATTGAAGATTTGGTGCCTGGATTTAAGCTGATCTGTGTGCTCTGGTGTTTCTAAATGATGTGATGTTGACTGTGGAGCCAGCAAGCCCACACCAGCTCGCTGCTGCCCAGGGGGAAATGCACTCAGACTGCCACTGTACCATTTGGAGCTGCTGCTTCCTCCGCAAAATCGTGTTCAGCTTCTCATGCTGCTTGATGTAGGTTTTCATGACTTCTTCCATGATCCTTCCCTTGTCATCCTCACAGCTGATGTCCTTCATGAGCGTGGGGGACAAGGTTCGTGCATCAGCACCTCCCTCCCCACGGACAGAGTCTCTGGGGATTTTGGAAGAAACGCGCTCAGACTTTGCACCTCTCGCAGAACGAGTTGACACAGGAGGATCTAAGCAGGAAAAAAACAAGAGAACAATAATCACAGAAAGTTCAAATTCCAGGGTGGAAAAAAATGCAAAGAAAACTGAGATTACAAAAAGGTGGAGGGAATTTTTGGAAAGCTGAAGTGACATCACAAAATTCTACCTCAGTGTAAAGCTTTCCAAAATTCTGTGGTATACAAATAAAAGCCTTCAATTTTCACTACTCACCTAAACGTTTATTTGGCTGCTCCACCCCAGTTTTCAAGTCCATTTTTTCCTGTTCTTCAAGAGAAAGCTCTGGATAGGAGGCAGATTTTTTGTGCTTTCCACTACTGAGCTTCTTCTCTGACTGCCCAGGTGAGGATTTATTAACTTCTGAAGCTTTTACCGCTGTTTTTGCAACATCTTTATATTGAGATGCAAGAGACACATTCGGGGCAACCACTTTATCACACATGTAAAGGTAGTAACTGAAAAAACAGCAGAAGAGTAAAATTCATAGCGAAAGGTAAGACATAATAAATGATGGCTGGTTGAGAGCAGTAAGTTTAATTTTACATGAGTTCAAACTGTGAAAGTATCAATGAAAAATAAGCACATCCTTTTTAAATTTTTCCTAAGCAAAAGGAAAGCCTAACGACCCACTTAATCTCTACTGAGTAGATTATCTAGATAAGGTTTTGAGGCTATTAAACAAGTAGATTTTCCAAACATTGCTGATTAAAAAAAATTACAGTAAATCATATCACAACTTCATTTAAATGCGAAGAGTGAAATTACAATGCCACTGAATCCAGACTCTCCGGCATTTTCATAATCCTTATATTGGCAATGGAGGATGGGGAGGTGATCAGTGAAGTGGGAATGAGCAGCTGTGTTCTGACAGGCCTGGGGCACATCCGAGACCAATGCTGGACCTTCCTTCCCAAGTACACTGAGCTGCCCATTTGGATTTTCACAGCTCCTGGACTCCAGGCAGCATCCCCATGTCCCTTCCTCAGCTCAGCACTCAGCCCAGTACAGAGGGAAGAGAGCCCCAGGTGTGCTCAGGTCAGTGCCAAGGCCACCAGTGTCACTGGAGTTCAACTGCTGCCTTCAACACTTCCCTTTCTCCTGGTTCTGAAGGAAGGCACTGGCACAAACAGACCATGAGGGACCATCACAGAAGTTCCTCCACTCCCTTCTCTGCGTGGGAACCAGTGTGATGTGCGTGCACCAAAAAGGGTCTGCTCTGACCCAAATTCAGGACCTGTGCAACCACAGCAGCTGAGGGCAAGAGGAGTATCAAGAAAAACCATTTCCCTTGCTGCTGCAGGTGACAAATTTGGTAACGAGTCAGGAAATGCACTTGGTTTCTAAAACCAGGAAACCATCCCTCAGACAATTCAGCTGCAGCCCTTGTTCCACTGTGGAAGAAAGCCTTCAAACACCTCTTGGAAGTCCTTTCTGAAAGGAAATTAAGTTGTCCTCATGGTAAATAGGCCCTGTGCAGCTTTCCACATGTATGCACTGTATTACAATATGAAAGATCAAAGGTTACCTCTGTCATTTCTACTAAGAAAGGGGAAATTTTAATTACATTTCAATTGTATTGCCTGCTGAAGAACACCCACAGGTCACAGCTTTAGTCCTATACCAAAAAACACTCATAAGCAGTTCATTAGTATTTACACTAAAAATTTAGGGTTAACTCATTCCTGTGTGATACCTGAAAAGTTTTCCTAACAGAAACAAATACATTTTTCCCAGTTTGAATTATCGCTAAATAGCCAAAAGTATTTGAATACTTGACAGTGCCTATAGTTCTACATAGGAAACTCAATTTACCTGGGGTGGAAAAAGGAAGGTGGTTGAGGATCAGTTTCTGCTTCTTGCTTTATAACTGGATACCACTGTGATAATTCCAGGTTCTGCTGTGGCTCTGCCTAAAGGAAAGCAAATAAACTGATAACTGAAACATGGATGCAGGTTATTTACATTTTCATAAATACTCCTCAGAGAAATGGCAATTACACCATTAATACACCAGAGAAACTGGGGCACTGGAAAATGGGGTGTCTTTGAAAAAGATGCAGGGTGATGCAAGCCACAGAATTTTCTCTGATCTCCAATTTACCATCATGGGCAAAAGAGCAATGAAATTAACAGAAAATGTCTTTACAGACCTATCTAAAAGCTCTGCTGAGTTTCCAAAACTCCATTAAAGCAAGCTTGGGAGAAACAGAAAGCAGAAACTAGGATTCTCAAAAGACTGTCGGAGCCTTTTGTAATAATGTTTCTATATAAAGTAAGCACCTGCCAGATACTTTATTTCAAAATTAAATGGAACAGTGTGCTGGTATTCCAGGGACAGAACTTTCTTCAGTCATAACCAATTTTTATTACACAAGCAGGCAAAGCTGTTCCCAGAAACATGAAAATGCCATTCCTTTTGCAGTAGCAAACAAAATTTATTCAGGTGTATCAGAATACACAATCTTAAAGACTTCTGTGTATTTTGCATTTGGAAAGCAATTCTTGTTGTGTGTATCTGAAGAAATGTTTTTGGAACTACTCTTTACTAGAACTTCCTGGTGACACTTAGTGCTCCCCTGCAAAGCCGCTCTTAATTTCATGCCAAATGTGTCTCACCATATATTTACAATAGTCTCAGAGCTCAGAAATTGATTCATAATTTCACTATATTAAAACAGCCTTGGGAAGTGGGGTTTGGGTAGGGTGTGGTTGTCTGACCCCACACCCAGGCAGCTGCCAAGCACCACAGAGCTGCTCCCTCAGCACCATCCCCAGGGCATGGAAGGAAAAAGAGCAAGAAAGCTCCTGGGTCAAGGTAAAGTTGGTTTAAGAGGTGAAGGAAAGAGAAAAACACAAGTGAAGCAAAGGGCATGGCTCAGTCCCTCCCTCAGACAGCCTCAGTCTTGGATGCCAAACTCTCTTTCTCCTCCTTCTATCCCAGTTTTTATTGCAGTAGCCAGACCATTGGTATGTTAGCCACAGTTTCAGCCACAAATCCAAAGCCTAGCACCATACAAGCTGCTACAAAGTAATCAACACCATTCCAGCCAGACCCAGTACCTTCCACAAGCTGCTCAATTAAAAACCAGTCCATAAAGCTAAAAAAGTTACATAATCCTGTATTGAAACCCTTATCTAGTGTTCTAATATCTCCACAACGTATAAGTGCTATATTACCAGAAAGGTTTGTATTTACACACCCTGGAATAAACCTTTAGAGAACTTCATCCCTGGCTGTGACCTGAGGCATGGTCTGCACAATCCAACACCCCTGACCCTGGCAGGGAACAAACCCCACCTGCCCCACTCTGACCAAAACTCCCACCCCACCAAACTCAGCTCTCACAATGAAACTGAAATTCAACTCCACCCCTGCAGTTCCTCAAATCACTTCCAACACAGACAGAGAGGGAGGGAGGGCACAAGGAAGAGGCTCTGGAGTTGTAAATTCATAAAAAGGCTTTAGATAAAAAGATCTGAATAATCTTTAGAAAAATGGCCTCATCCTGACACTTGCCAAGTTTTTTCTACTTACTCAGATCATTCTAATAATTTAAATAATCACATATAATCTACTTATACTGCAGCTAGTATGCAGTGATCTGATTTTAGCTTCACATCACATTTGTCCATATTTCAGGACTCACATTTTAACATGCTTATATATTTACATACAAAATTATCAGGTCATCTGTATTTTCAAATTACTAGGTCAGATTTTTGACCTTTTTTTTTTCTGTTTCAAGTGCAAACTGAATTTACTGTCTACCCATTAATGTGAATCATGCAAATGACTTTCACAGCATGCAATCAAATTTTTACTTAGGAAAGAAAATTAAATACTACCATAAATAAATGAAGTATTTTTCTAACAGGATTCTTCTCTCACCATTCAGGTAAATGAATCAAGGCATATACACACACATACACACATATATATATATATATATATATGTGTATGTATGTACGTATGTGTATGTATGTACGTATGTATATATATGTATGTATATGTATGTATGTATGGCTATTTCATTACCCAACAATTTATTTTAGATGCTCTTAAATAATTCTTTAAACACAACAAGTTGAATTGAATTACTTCTATTCAAACTGTTTAAAGGGGTTACATGAAATAATATTTCTTTTTCTTTAAGGCTAGCTGGACAAAGCTGTTAAGGAAAAAAAATATATAGGTAAGTAATGGTTTCAGTGCAATCATTAAACCAGTAGTTTTAGCAGAGATTGGATTTATAAAACTCCCAGACTGTGACCAGGATCAGCTCAAGAAATCAGCAAGGCAAAGTTTTAGTGCAGAGATGATGAGAAACTGTCGCAAAGTCAAAGGGAACAAGGATCTCTCAGCCAGGAATCAGCACTCGGTGACAGCTGTTCCATGAAGAGCAGGTGGATGTTGCACTGCAGCCTAGAACTCCACAGAAAATTATGACAATCAAGCACACAGCTTTCTTCTTAGCACAAAGAACAGAAAGGAATTTATCTCAAGAGTACTTTGCTCTTAAAATATTGAAACAAAAGTGTATTTGCACTGTGAGGTGAATAAACTCAGAGTGAAATGTTAAGGAGAAGGACAAAGCATGGCATCTAGGATGCTCCAAAGACTATGGGATTTAATTAATTCATTATTACTACATGGGGAAAGACCTAGCCAAGGGCAACTGCTCCTCCTGGGTCCAAAACAACCACAAAGGATGTGTCAGCACTGCTGTGGACTGACTCAGCAAAGGTGGTGAGGAGGTGACAGAACAGCAAACAGAACATCCTGCAAATAAATTCCCCTAGGAGTGTAAGGAGAGGGAATGTCCATGTGCTGTACCTGATACCTCTCCCACAACACAGAAATGAGGAAAGGAAGCTGTGGCTGCTCCATCCCTGGAGGTGTTCACGGTCAGGCTGGATGGAGCTGTGAGCAATCTGGGCTAGTGGAAGCTGTCCCCATCCAGGCCAGGGGGGTGGAATGAAATGATCTTTAAGGTCCCTTCTAACCTAAACCATTCTGTGATTCTCTGAAGCAGCCTAAGCTCCCTCAGGAAAAGGAAAGGGAAACTCTACCCCAGCACTGCCCTCTTAAACTCTTTTACTCTTTCATACTTCCCAGATGAATATCCACAGGATGAAAAAAACCCCAAACCTCCCCCACCACTGTATTTAGCTCAGGTTTTCATAGCTTCTGACTCTGGTTTCACACGTTGCTTTGTAAGAAAGAACTACACGGGTCTGCAACAGAAGACTGCAGAAAGTTTTACAATTTCATTTGCACCAGCCCAGTCCAAATTACTGTTCTTTCCAGTGGGTTTTTTTTTAATCTTTGAACATGAAACTGAAAGATCTCATTGTCTGAAATGTGCTGCTGTGGGAAGAGAAGCAGCACATATAGGTGTGAACATGGAAAACTATTTCCACTGATGTATCCACCATGCTGTAGTCCATTTCCTACACTGGCATTGCAAGAATAAAGACTGACATGTCTTTATCAGCTGAAAAGCAAAATCTCTTTGCTAGGAGACTGCATCTTCAAATAATTCAGCATGTGGAAGCATGCCATACTGCAGACTTCCATGGGAATCTGCTGGTAAAATCTCTTCCTGCAGACTGGCACCACTGTAACAATACCTGTTACTACCGTCAGCCTTCCTGCAAAACCAACTTTTCAGAAATTTGTGCTGAAAGGTGTTGGCTCATAGCACCCCTTTTTGGGCTCAACCATCTGCACTGCTCTTGCTGCTATTTTGAAATCCACCACAAAACATCCAACAGGCAACATGGATTTATCATCAAACCAGCAGCCATCAAACAAGACACAGAAACACTGAATACACCGAAAAGAAAGTGTCATGGGGCAGAAACCATTAAAAGTTTAAATTATACCCCAAAATTGTGCTTTCTATGAATGGGAGCATCAATGATATTAATGTTTCTCTGCTGCTTGTCCTATTATTTAAAGTAGAAGCTCTCCAAGGGACAAATAAGCTCTGTATTTTGGAACCACAGCACAGACTTGCAGCAGTATTTTAGGAAAAAATAAGATGTCTATTATTAACTATTGTCAAGATACCGGCCCACAGCTCATTACTTGGGCTGCTTAAAACCCCCTCTTTTTGGCATATTTCACTGCACAAGTGGCTTAAACAGAAAGCTCTTGCTGAACAAGCAGACTTCGGGCTTCTAAATAGCCATTTAGCTAAGCACCATTACCCTGCACACAAGTCATGAGATGGGTGGCCAGCAAGCCAGGTTGCCATCCAGCCCACGTGTGCATGCTGGAGTACAAACAACAAATGAAGAATTCATCTGTAATACTTGATTTTCAAGCTCCTTTCTGCTTTGCTCAGCTGCTGCAGCACACGCTGCATTAAAACCTACTCAAAGGTCAAATAGGAGAACAAAAATTTTCACAATAGCCTGAATTTTCCAGAGTCTGTACACCTTAGGACAGAACAAGAACCAACAAAGCCAAGCCACCTCAAATGGTTACTTGCAGCCCAAAGAGGAAAGAAATTACCACCTCTCTTAATGAGAAATGTTATTTCCATGGTGAAGCTCTCACAGATTTAACTTAGGCTTGATGTGACAAGTATTCCCACTTAGAAAAGCCAAGTAATGCGCTTCTAAAACAAGTATTTACATGTGAGCAGAAAGAGATCTGGGAATTTTACACCAGGTGAACTTACTTTGGACCGAGTTCTTTTCTGATTTTTCTCGCTGAATTTCTCCTTCATTTCCTCCAAGAGATGCTTCAGCTCTCTCTCTTCTGATGTGCCCAGGTATTTTTGGTTAATGTGCAGGTAGCAGTGCCACTTGGCCGACTCAAACCCCCAGTGGCAGGTCCTCTTGTCCGGGGATCTGTGTGAATGCATCACGAAGGTCTGGGGTGAGAACATCCCGTAGCACTCCAAGCACTGGATACACGGGTCATCCGGGGCAAGGTAGAACTGAGGTGCAAACAACCCCTGGCACTTGCCCAGGCATTCATGCTCTACTTCGAAGGCACTGCCAGTCTCTTTCAGCTGGGCCAAGGTGTTCTTACCAGGGAGGAAACTGCCACTTTGGGGGAAAGTGCGAGGGCGCAGTAAAGCATTGCATAGTCTCTGAGCGTCCGTCAGCGTAATGAGCCCACAGGACGGAGCGTTGAACGGAAGAATTCCCAAAACCTTCAGAATGTGCAGCTGGTCAGAAGTGCACCTTGAGCAGTAGATGTAGAGCTCATCACACACCGTGTTGATCTGCTGCAAGGAAAAGTCTCGGAGAACCGAATTCAACACTTGAGGCAGGCAAAGTCTTTTTTCTCCTCCGACTTTGAAACAAGAGATGGATTCCCCCTCCAGCAGGGTCTGCGTGAGCTCCGTGGAGCTGTCTGGAGGGATGAGCAGCGGACCAGAGAGGATTTGTGGTGATGGGAGAGGCAGGAAGACAGTGGGTGACATACTTTCCTGGGAATACCGAGCTGAGAAAGCTGCAGGTCCACCCAGTGAACTCTGGCTGCTTAGGTGGAACTGTGCCAGCGTGTGTTTCAAACCTGGATTTAAACTCAAAGGCTCAGATAGTGAAGCACTGTTTGGCTTGGTGGTTTCCCCATCAGCCTCCACTGGAGCTTCATCATAGTCATCCAGGTTTTCCTTCTTTATTGTTGGCAATTTATTTATTACTACCTGTACTTTGTTATTTACATGCATTTCAGTCATTGCTTTTTTCAGTGGAGGACTCCCATCCTCTTGGATCCTGCTTCTTTTTTGGTCTGAAACCAGACCTAGAGGGAAGTTTATCTGTGGGCTTTCCATTGCTAAACACTGAGCTTTAATTAAGCCAGTCTTGAATGTGCATTTTCTTACTTTTTATATAAAAAATAGTTTCATGTGATCTTGGAGCTGCACGCTCCTTTCCCTAAAACATCTTCTTCAGCATCCAGCAGTAAAAACTGTAACCCATTCTGTATGTAATACTGTAAAACTACTAATGGAGGGGTTACACTATTTTCTTAGCTATTTGTTCAATTTCATAATATAAAAACCCCAATGCAATATGTATACAAAAGGTTTTCTTCATACCCTAGCCACTACTTTACACAGTAGTCTTGTCCAGCAATTTAGTAAAAAACGATGCGTTGATGGGTGTTCATCCTCAATCGTTCTTTTTCCTTTAAAAAATATACTGTCTTTTCAAATAAGTCTCTATTTAAATATTAAAATAGAAAAATGGGCTCAGTTAGAAGAATGTCAATCTTAACGAAACTGATCCAAAACGTAGTTTACGTTGTATGAAAATTTTATTCAGCACTTTGAGCTCCCAGAGATCAAACACAATCTTAAGGGCTTGCTTTATTGTGCTGCCAGCTTTATGATTTCACCACCAGCACCGTGACAGCTACTATGGCAGTTCACAAATAAATCCTGAAATTAAAGGCTGATCCAGACTGACGGCAAAAACTAAACGTCCCTAGAGAGTCACCTTTCGCCCAGATGTCACTGGCGTGTGTCAGAATTTTCCCAGCCCAAGTTATTAGTAATAGAGGTGAGATCCAGGCCATGGGCTGGATGCATGCCGTGTGCTAGCACAGAGTTCTGCTCATCCTTCCTGATAACCTGTGAAAGAGAGACGGCTGATCACAAGCAATCCCAGAGTTTGCTCTGTACCTAAAGGGGTAAAGAGGGCTGGAGAGGGGCTTTTGACAAGGGTGAAAGTGTGACAGGAGTCACAGGACAGGAGGGAATAGCTTTATACTGAGAGAGGGAAGGTTTTGATTTGATACAAGGAAGAAATTATTCTCTGTGATAGCAGTGAGGTAGTGGCACAGAGAAGCTGCGGCTGCCCCATCCCTGGAAGTGTCCAAGGCCAGGTTGGACAGGGCTTGGAGCAGCCTGGGATAGTGGAAGTGTCCCTGCCCATGGCGGGGTGGGGGGGTTGGAAGGAAATGAGCTTTAAGACCCCCTGCAGCCCAAACCATCCGGGATTCCCCGCCAGAGGCAGGGTGCATTTCCCAGTAACTTGCGGAACACCGGGACAAGCCCCCGAACCGATGGGCGATACCGGCGGGGGAGGGGGCGGTCCGGAGCGGCTCTCCCGGCGTGCACGCCCGAAAGGACGGGCGCTCCGGCGAGCCGGGCACCGGCCCCACATCCCGGGCACCGACCCCTGGCCCCGCAGCCCCTCCCGGGACGCCGCACGCCGCCGCTCCCTCCCGCGCCGTGACTCACCCCGGCCCCGCTCCGGGCACGGCTCGGCCCTTCCCCCTCCCGCCGCCGAGCCCTGCCCGGCTCCCCGCCGTCCCCGGCCGTATCACGCCGCTCCGCCGCCCCCGTGTCCCTCCCCTCCTCCCAGCCCCGGTACCCCGCTCCCCTTCTCGCCGCCGCCCCCGCGCCGCCTCTCCGCAGCCACCGCTCCCTCCCAACCCCCGGCGGGCGCTCCCGCCCTTCCCCCCCGGGCTCCGCCGCCGCGCTGCCCGCCGTTCCCAGCGAGTTCCCCGGCTGCTCACCCGGCGCCGCGGGGGCTCCGGCGGCCGCGGGGAGCGGAACAGGCGCCGCGTTCGCGCCGCCCACCCGTGACCTCACTGCGGAGACCGAGACGGCGGCGGCGGCGGCGGCGGCGCGCGGGCACGAACCCGCCGGCGGCGCGCGCCGGCCCCGCCCACTGTCTGGGGCAGCGGCGGGAGCGCCCGCCCGCCCCTCCCCCGCCCGCCGCCGCCTCAGCGCTGGGAAACCCGGCCCGGCGCAGGAAGATAAAATAAAAAATAAAATAGATATATGTGTAATAGACATTGAAAAGTGTTGTTTCTGCCCGGCTTCCCCTCAGCCCGCCCGGTCAGACCCTGCCCCGCGGCCGAGAGGGGCCGGCTGAGGGACGGGACGGAACGGCAGCTGCAGCTGGGGCGGGGGAAGGGAGAGCGGCCATGGCAGCGGGGGAAAGCCGGGCGCTGGCGGGGACCTGCCGGGCGTGTCGCCCGCCTGAGGCGCGGCGGCGGCGGCGGGCAGAGGCCGCCAGTGGGGGGATCTCCGTGACTGCCCCTCAGTGACAGACCCGCAGCGAGGCTCCCGCAGAGCATCCCTCACTGACTGCCCCTCAAAGGAGGTGGCTCAAAGATGGTCCCTCAGTGAAAGTCCTTGAGTGCTGTCCCCCAAAGAGCGTCCTTCGGCAGGGGTCTCACAGTGACTGTCCCCCAGCGAGGGTCCCCAGGCTGTGCTCTGGCACCCCACTGCTGGGGACGGGGACACGCGGGGAAGGCGGGTCCGTGTGAGGGGCCTGTCCCCGAAGCAGTGTCACAGACCGCTCCCTCCAGCCACGGGCTCGCAGGAGATATTTTGGGAAACGAAGCGATCAAACCGCGGACAGGCGGGGAAGATGCTCTTCAGGGACAGCTTAGTCGCTGTACAGCTCGTTCATGTATTACAAGTTTCTTCCGCCTGCAAGAGGCCCAAAGCTTTTCAGTTTACATCTTTGTGAAGACAGCGCTTCAGCTGGGATTACGGCGCGATCCAGTTTGCCGTTTCCTTTCATCCCACACAGTTACATATTTTGATGCGAGTACAAAAGCACGGCACATGGAAATGGGGCAGTTGTACAAGCACCAGGCACCGCTTAGCACTGGCCGCGGGATCCGAGATCCGTTCCGCGCCGCTCCCTAATGCCGTCCCAGGAGGATTATGGCACAGACCTGCCTCGCTGCTGATCTGCTGAGAGAGGCCTTTGGGGCTCTTTAATCCTTGATTTCGCACCTTTGATATGCTCAGGTTTCCTCTGGGCTGGGCGGGGTCGCTGATGGAGAAGCCCTTGAGCATCACTTCAAAGCTGCTTCACCAGTCACCTCTTAACTCGTGCTCAAACCACCACATCGGTTGCGGTATCTGCAACAATATCTACAAATTCTTTGGATCTGAGCAGTCTTTAAGGTCTTTTCCAACCCAAACCATCAAGGTTTTATAGAAAAGCAAACGTTTTTGCAAAGAATACTAATGCCCACTACTTATTTATTAAGCAGATATAAGGTCTGCTTAAAAGCCACAACAATGTGGCAGAATTAAACAAGATTTCTGAATGCACCAGCTTTTGGAGCTGATTCTGTAAAGATATGAACCTATGAGGGAATTGTATAGACATTCTAGACATTCCTGTCTGCTTCACCCTCTTGGACTTTATGACCTGATTTTTTTTTAAAAAGCCTCTTTGAATACCAATCAGTGAAATGCACTATGTCACAATCCCTTTCAAATTTACTGAAGAAAATGTAATGTCTAACATTGCAGCTGGACTGATCAATGTCTGTGAGGAAGGCAACATATGTAGGCAGACATTCCATCTTTTCTTAGACCTCCTGATGTCATGGAAGCTTAGGATTCAGTGGCATTGTTTAATTTGTTGATTTTTTTCAGGTTCTGCCGCAGAAATGTTCCATTTCAGGTTACAAAGCCTGGTAACTATTGTGCTGTAATGATAGTGTTGCTATAGAGCTACAATAATCAGGCGATGGAAGACAAAGTTTGTAGGTAGAAGATTGTCTAAAAAAAGGTGTTAGCTCTGCCTATTTCTACTGTGGACTGTGAAAAGCAGTTCTGAAGACACTGCACAACTAAAACCTGAGTTACAGATCTTTGCAAGTGGTAATAAAGTGCACTAATAGCACAGGAGGAATCTTGCTTTGATTAATAAAGTGTCTGAATTTTGAAGAAGTGCTGAGGCTCTGGGGAAGCTCACAAACTTCCCTGATGCACAGTCCCTGAAGACACACAATTTAACTATAAACTATGCCCTGGAGAGCACAATTTAACTGTGAACAAAGACGGTGAATTTTCGTCTCTGATAAGATTATATTGTGCTTTTTAAAGAAAAAAAAATTAGTAGTCATGTTTAATAGTAAGTTGTAACAGTTCACACTTAGCTAATCTGTCATAGGAGGTTTCATTCTTGCAAAATAGATATTGTATTTCAGGTTGTGTTTTAAGCAGAAAAAGTTGATAGATTTTGGCAGACACCACATCCTGCCGGACAAGTCACAGTGGGGACAGTGCACAAAACACTTCAGCTCATGAAGGACTTGAACTATTCCTCTGATCTAAGAGGAGTATAAGCCCAGACACTTTACTCATCCTTAGAAATGAAACAGATTCCTGCTATTTATGCCTGAAAAAGCCACCTCCCACAAAAGCTGCACAGACCTGGGATGTAGACACTGCTCTGCCTTCAGTTATTGCTGATTAAATGGTAAGAGTCCATCTTTCAAGTATTAAGTCCAGATCCCTTTATTATAAGCAGAAAAAAAAATTAAAATAAACCCATGGGGGATCTCTCTGCGAAAAAATGCAAGATATGGTAAAATCTGTTTTTTCTCAAAGGGGCTCCAATCCCCACCTTCTCTCTTCCCAGGAAAACATCGTAATTGTTGCAACTGCAAAAACAGTTGCAGATACCTCTGTTGCTTCGATGCCTTACACCATCCATGCTGAAGTGAGGACGCTTGCTTAGCACTTACCAAGTGTATGTATAGATTATCCACGCTATCAGCTTCCTCCATAGAGTGCCTCAGCATAAACAATTGCTCAGACTGAGGCGAGAGCAGCTGGGCACCCAACAGAACAGAAACAGCGAGCGTGCGTGGGGGGAGGTTAAGCATGGAAGATATGCAGCCATCTGCAGCACTCGCCAGGATTGCCGAAGCACACCCGTGCTAAGAGGCAAGACAAAATCTCTTTTAAAAGATACTGAAATACAGAAATTAAACCACTGCATCTGTGGCAGGGTATGAGCTAAGTGCCATCACCCTCTGTGTCAGAAATCCGAGAATGCAGGGGAGGAGTTGAAGAAACAAAGAAATAAATCATGCAGAAGTAAGTGCAGCAGACAAGAGCGTTGCTCTGAACTCCAAATCCCAGCTCTGGCAGCTGAGATGACGTACCAACTCCAGTGCTGAAAGAGTCCTTGGATGAGCAGGCTAAAGTAGCATTTTGTATTTTCCTTTAAGATTTCTATCTCTGTGCAGAGGACGGATGCCTCGCTGCTTTGTCTCTTCACTGGTGTTGGAAGGAAAGAACCCACAAGGATGGTGTTTTTCCAAAGGACTAGATGAGCATGAGGCTATGAATGATGCTGGAGCAGAACCTGCATTCTCAGACACATTTGGTAAATGCAGGGTGAGAAAGGCATTTCTTGGGTTGCTGTGGCCCATCCCAGTGCAATTTTCTACAAGAAATGAAAAGATTAGAACAATATTCCCATGGGATATGGACAGTTTAAAAGGGTTAGATGATGATCCCAAGACCAGCATTTCACAGTATTTCTCTGAGATTTTAACACACAGAGGTCTAATATAAATGTTTTATTTAAAGTAAAAAGTGTGCACAAATAAAGGAAATGATTACACAACAACGTTCAAGACCATATTCCACATGAAATAGGAAAATAGTAGTGACAATATTAACTAGCAGAGCACCCATAGGAATCCAACTCGTGTACAAAAAAGAGGTTACTCCACATAAATACATCATGCTTTTGATGCAGACACGTTCTCCAAAAAACAAAAGCTACTGCACTGGACTGTTTACGCCCAATGTCCCTTCTGAATATTTATGACAGTTTCTGTATGCTTAACAATGAAAAAAAATAGTTAATATCATGGCACTTTGGAGAAAATTAAAGTTTAAAAATGAATTTACTGTAATTTAAGGTATTTGTCACTGCAAGATTCTTAATGGTTAGATATGTAAATAGAAAAAATACTTTTTCTGTGACATTACACAAAAAATTAACTTTTGCTTTACTCTTCTGTGATGAATGGCAGAAATGTCATTTCTTACATAAAGCCATTTCCTTTAATACCTTGTAGGAAATTATGCCACTGTAGAGACAAGGCTTTTCTTGTATGCTTTATTCCCTGGTTTAATATCAGTTTTGCCCTGATGTCTAAACTGATCATGTGGGTACAGGAGTCAAAGGCTAAAAAATCACCATTTTCAAACTGCACATAGTGCAGTTCACTTGACCCTAATCGCTGCTTTGTGAAGGAAGGTTCAGTCTCATATTTTACATTTGAAAAGATGCAACTTTAATTTTAGGAAACCTGATTTTTAACAGTGAGGAGGTTCCACACTTCCCTGAAACTGAAGCCCATCAAAACACTTATCAGTTTTGGAAACTCAGCCCAATAACAAGGAGTTTCTTATTCACATTGCAAAGAAAAACAAGAACTAAAGCTCATACCATGACACCAGTGTGGATTTGTGCAATCTCTCTGCTTGCAGCTGACATGGAAGTGAAAAGACATACACCAGAAAATTCGTGCTATGAAATTAGCGTTGCCATATGAGGATTTTCACAGAAAGACACTGGCCAAGCAAAAGTTTACTAAAAGCCTCAGATAATGCTTGCCAACTTGTGCTTACAGATTCTCAGATCTGCTTCCAGTGACACCTATCTTCTCTTACAGCTCTTACATAATACAGATTCCTTTCCTCAATGTCTCTTAATCCCTTTTCCCCAAAATAATAATAAAAAAGTGGTATGTTTGGCATTTCTTCAGCCCAACACATTCATAACTATTGCTTTAGCATTAAAAATAAGAATTATCTGTGCTGTATATTACACTGCTTACTAACATGAAATGTA